TTCTTTTTTTCTTGCATTTTTTAGTTTTTGTCCATTATTTTCATTTACATTTTCTTTCTTTTCCTTAGTTTTTTTTATTCTTTTTTTCCCTTCCTTTCTCTTTCTTACAAAGTCTAAACTCTGAACCACTCATTAGACTCCGTTCCCCATGAGACCCCATGACCGTGTGTGTTTATGAGTGTGTCTTGGTCTTATATAAAAGGGCAGATGGGCCCAGCTGGACGATTTTTCTCTTTCACTTTGTGCTCAGCAAGACTGATCCTTGGAGCAAACGCAACGGCTGAAACACCTGGGCATTCCAGAGCATAGGGACAGACATCACAGTGAGCAGCGGAGAAACATTCAGCTAAACAATACATTCATTTACCGGAAAGTAAACACAACTTAGAGCGTGAGAGCGGCCATGTTTTGAAAAGTATTAACAGTCCGTTTTATAGAGCTATATTCCCAGTACTCCTTGTGTTGTTTTGGACATGATAGATGGATTTAGCATTTTGTTGAAGCATGTATGTTAGTGGGCATTTACTATAACAGACAGTTCATCTTCCAGGTGTTCACACCTGTTTCAGGTTCTTCTCTAGATCTTCTTTTTTTAACCCAGGGCCTTCAGCTGTGCTATAGCAGTTGTTCTGAGAGCCATCAGCACAAACCATTACAGGTGTCCAGCTGCTGGCCTTCAGACAGTCTCAGTTGTGGCCTTATGATTAGAGAGTGTCTTTTTTAACGCAAAAGTCAATCCCTGAATCAATCCCTGCGCACCGCTGTGTGTCTGTGTATTTGTGTGTGTGCATTTGCATATAAACAAATTCTGTTCAACTTCATTTACTCCCTCAGTCTTACCAGTTAGTCCAAGTGTACTTTGATTTTTATAATAGATTGTAAAAGAAATATGGACAACACGTCCACTGTAGAAAAAAACAACTTAATTTAAATGTTTTTTTTTTTTTACTTTCATCTTGTTTGTTTACATGCAGAGGGCATGGTTTATGACTGATTTCAGGGTACCACCAGGGGGCGGTAAACTATTTTGTTCACTGTTTATTCAGGATCTGTGAGGTACACTTGGTTTTTACGTATACGCTAGAAAATGTATACAGTGTGCTTATCAAAAATTAGATCAATGTGGATTGTTTTATCCACACATGAACTGTTTCTGCATAACTGCCTACATGGTGTAAAATAGTCCTTGCCATGGCTGACGCTGATGCGCTACTTTTAAAAAATGTAGCTACTTGTCGCAATGACGCATAGCACAAGCTCTGTGATTGGTCAGCCTGGTACTGGTGACAAGCATGGGCGGTGCTGAGAGCCACAAGTGGCCAGACCTGTGAAGGAGCTCCAGATGGAAACTTTTATTTCAAGTTTACCTTATCATTAAAGTTGTTGCAGAGTTCCCATCTCTGAATGACTGAAAACACTCGACACAGAGGAACATAAAAGCCTGCTGCCAGCTAGCATTTTGAAAGTGTTATTGCAGAGCAACACAAATAGCACGCGGAACTATAAATGCACGGCTATGCGCAAGGCAGGTGTCGTGGTTTATACCAATCACTCGATGCAGAAGTATAAACCAGCCTTTAACCTATATGTCCAATAGTGCAAGCTATGCTTAAGAGCTTAACCTTTGTGGTGTTTCTGTAAATTTACAGCAGCATGGCAGTGTTTGCTTTCAAGATATGGTCAAAACCTAATAATAATAAAACTACTGTATTTATTGAAACCAATTTACTAAAAATTCCATCTAATTTTCAGTTGTGACAGATGTCAGTGAATTAAACTGACAGAGATTGGTTGCTGCACCTCTCATCTTCTTTGAGAACTCTCTACTCAGTACCTAAACACCTACCTTACCAAATGTTAATAAGCAACTAATTAGTAGTTTATTTATTAGTAGTTTAGAGTCTTAGTTAATGGCGTGTTTGACAATTTCACCACTTGCGCTCATTGCGCTGTTAATGCTGTCAATCCCATAATCCACATCTTCTGCAAAGAATGAATTAAAAATGCATCCTCAGCCTCATTCACTCTGCTTAGTAGCATTTTGGTCTATTTCAGGTACAAGAATAAATCTCTCCAGGGTTTTATTGTTCTTATTTTGTAAGAATAATGTATTAATGCAGCATCGTTTAATTCCGTCCAAAATGAACACTTGATTTGGCCTGAAAGCAAACTGTGGGATGTTATTTATTTTGCTGAAGCACATGTGTCAGTGGGATCCTGCAGGGATTGATGGCCCAGGGAGCTCAGACTCAGATGCTGCAGTGTCTCTGAATGTGTGTGTTTAGTGCCTTTTGTAACATCAAGCTCCTGTAAACACCTAATTTAAAGTAGTTCATCTAAAGATTGTCTAAATACTTTATTTCATATTATTAATTTACACACAATTGGTATGAACTCACGTTAATTGAAAAACCACATTGATACAATTATAGTTTTAGCATCTTAAAAGGGTTGTTCGGCCAAAAATAAAAATGACCTCATTATTTACTCTTTCTCTGGGTTTTAAACCTTTTTGAGTTTGTTTCTTTTGTTCATCACAAAGGAAGATATTTGAAAAGTGCTAATTGATGGTACACATTGACTACTATAGTGGGAAAAAATAGGGAAATGTCTTATTTTCTGTTTAAATATTTTTTTCATATAAAAAGTTGCTACAATTCACAAATAATTACAATAAAGCAAGTAACGCCTTGAATTAAATGTGAAAATTTAAAGTTCTGAACTGAAACATACTGTAGTAGCTGTTACATGCAAAAAAATAATAATAATAATACAATTTTTCAGTATGTATTTGTTAAGCAAAATCGCAATTTGGTCTGATCCCCAGGGCTGCTAGGAAGACTGCTAGCATCAACGCTGAATGTTCATCTCCCGCTGCGGTCTCACTGTGCAGGCGAAGCGCGTGCTCCGATCAGATCGTGAGCTTGCCTTAGAGGTCAACATCAAGAGCATCTGATGGAACAGATGGAGAGAATAAACTCTAAATCAGGCCGACAAGACCAAATGGTTTTTTTGAGCTTATGACTGTGATTTCAGTTCCCATCAAGTGCACTCCAGAATGCTCTCAGAGACCTCAACATTGTTGTGTGCAATATACACTTAGAGTTTTTATGAAATTCTCAAACTTTTTGACGGTTGATTGACACTTTATTGTGTTTTTTCCTTGTGACTCGGTTTTTTTGATAGAGGGTTACAGGAAGTAGTGTAATTGAAGTAAATAATAAAAAAAAACTCAAGCTTGCACCACCATGGGAGCTCTATATGTTGGAAAGTGCAGAATCGCTTCACCTTTAAGATCCCTCAAATTTTCAGTTGAATTTAACCAGGTCATCCTAGACGAAACGTGATGAACATTTGTTCACTGAAAACATGGTCCCTGGTCATTAGGAAAATACTAATCATCATCTACCAGCACTGCTGAAAATCATACCAGCAAAACAAATAAAATCCTAGTGCTGCATTGGGGTCTTAAGAATTAAAACAATAACTATGTGTAGATTATTAGTGACTTGTTATTCGAGAGACTATATGGATTGTAGTCTCTACAAGGATTATGCACTACTATATACGTAAACTTATGCCATTTCAAGATAAATATCATAAATCTAAGTAATGAATTTTAAATGGTGTAAAACTCATTCATTCGCATTCGTATTAAACTTTTAACGTTGATTATATTAGGTGGTGGACATATTGCAGATTGACATATGTCGGTATAAGATTCTGACAGTATGATGACCTTGTATAAAAATATCACAGTTTCAGAGTATTGTACTCACTCCTCTAAAATATATTATTTTTAAATGTTTGGGTAAAAAATATATTTTGCCCCCTTTGAACACAGTATATTTTATTTTGAGAAATGTTTAAAGTGTTTTGGAACAGTAAACATGTCAGATTAAATAACTCAAGTCAATCATTGACTTCTGCTATCTTCATTAGTTTCTAAAACACAGATTATTTACAATTTATAATCTTTAGGTATCTTTTCTGCTGGAGATATTGTTATCCTAAAAATAAAAAAAAAATTAATAAAATATCTTACACATACCTTAGAAATGATATTAAAGAAAATTTTAAGTTTAAAACCTTGACTTTTCCAAACCGCGGTATACTGTAACTTGAAAACAGTTATCATCCCATGCCTGATTGCAAATCCACTGTTTGATTCTCAGAGTTTAATGAGGACACTTTACACTTTTTAAAGTTGAATTTGTTTGCATTAGTAAGCTGCATTAGTTAACATGAAGAAACAATGAACAACACTTCTACAGCATTTATTAATCTTAGTCAATCTAGCAAGTTATTGTTTGCTAACTTTGCTAATAATTTGCTAACTAGCCACCGATAAGGCTTTTTGAGCTAACATGAACAAGCAATAAAGAAATAGCAATAAACAAGCAATATTTATTAGCTAAAAATACACTTGTTGAAATAGGTTACTTGCTTTAAAAATATAATAATTATATTGTGAATTGAAGAAATAGTTCACGAAACAAACAAACAAACAAAAACTTTTACTTTCTATTTAATCACTCTCAAGTGGTTTTAAACCTTTTTGAGTAACTTTTTTCTGTTGAGCAAAATAAATTATTTTGAACAATTTTAGAAATCCTTAACCACCAACTTCATTTTTTGGAAAAACAAATACTATGGAACCTAATTGTTTCGGGTTTTTAGTTTTATTTTTTTTTCAAATATCTTATTTTGTTTTCTATAAAAGAATAAATAAAAAAATAAAACAGTTTTGTTACAAGTGTAGGCTGATTAAATTTAAAAACAGAATTTTCAGTTTGGGGTGAGCTATCCCTTTAAAAACTAATGTTAACAAATGAGAACTAATTGTAAAGTGTAACCTTTTTGTTTGCGGTTTCTGTTTTGTCTGTGCTTGTTATGAAAAATGTCTCTTTTTTCACTTCTGTCAGGCTCAACAAGAGGATCCCTCCCAGCAACATAGTTTTACTTTCATTCATACAAGTGTGTGTTTGTATGTGTTTCAGAATGGAGCAGTTCCAGGAGAGCCAGTAAAGAGAGATGAAAACTCCAGGAGAGGAAACTGGGGCAACCAGATTGAGTTTGTCCTGACAAGTGTAGGCTATGCAGTGGGGCTGGGAAACGTCTGGAGGTTCCCTTACCTCTGCTACAGAAATGGAGGAGGTGACCGTTTTTATCCCTTTCTTTTTTTTTTTTCCAATAGTTGTTTTTCATCCTCTCAGTACCTGTCATGCACTGCTGCATATTATTATGTATGTTCAGATTCTTAAATTAGAACAAAGTTAACCAATATAGCCATTGTAATCTAAAGTTAAACCGATGCTATTTAGGGTTTTGTTTTTCTATGTCATGCCAATAAGTCCTTTTCAAATTCCTTGCTTCCTTAAAAGGGTACTCGTTTGGTATCAAGTCTCATAACACACCACACTTAAAATAGACCAGGCTAAGAGTAAGCAAGGGACTCCAGCAGAAGCTCCCAGATGACCTGGCCCAGAAACCTGTGCCCCATGATTCTCATATTCCTAGAGCTGCTTATAATCAGGGGCCATACCCTGAATTAGCCCATATTTCAGATAAGTAACTGAACTCCCGGCAGATTATGCTCCTGTAAGGTCTTTTGGCACCTGCGTGTGGGCAGATTTTTATTTACCTTAATTTTTACTATTTGTATGCACTCAGTAGAGCTGCCTGGATAAATATCTTAATAATCTTATTCCTAAATTCACTGTTTTAGCTATGTGTTTTAAACATTTTTTCCATTACAGCAAACATTCAGATTTGCTTTTGTTCTCAAGTCAGTAGCTGTTTTGTAGAGCTTCAGAAAAGTCTTTTCAGCTAAACAGTGTTTCAGTGTTTCAGTTTTCAAAGAAGAGGTTGCTTCTAAATTTGAGGATTGAAATTAAACTTAGAGGCTTTATTTTAGAGGTTTAGTAAAGAAGGGCCATGTTTGGCCCAAAGGGCAAATGGCATATACAGAATTCTAGGACAACACAAGGGTTAAATAGATTAAATCTCTTATTTAAAAAATAAAATAAAATGCTGTTAAACCAGTCAGTGGTAACATACAATACAAACTAAATGGATTTGTCTTTAGCACTGTTTATGCCTAGTATGAAGCTTTTTGTTTATTATCTGATCACAAGTAGACATTAAATACTAGTGCTAACTGAGTCTTAACATTTGGAGCTTGTCCAGTTTTGACTACTTCCAGAGAAAATTAAATACACTACATGACGGAAGTCTTGTCATCGATCCCAGTTGTAAGAGCAACACTTGACTTCTAGTTAATGACTTGGAAAAGTGACAGAAGATTGATTTTTTTTTTTTGACAGTTGAACTACATCCCAACCATCACAAATACTGCAGAAGACCTATTAAGACCTATGTTTTTTTGTTGTTTTTTTCATTCCAGATGAGTCATTCCAGATGACTTTATTAATAAGTTATTTGAGTCATTGCAGAGATGTATGGATGCAGTCCTCCAATGAGAGTCATACACAATATTCATTCGTTTTCCACTGAACCTTGACTTTATATTTTATATTATATTATTTTATATACTGTACATTATTTCTGTTAAGTGACAAGACTTTTGTCTAAACAAAGCCAGACCTTACTGTCCTAATTAAATAATTAAAAATCAAGGCATGATCATATTTTATTCTGGTCAAATAAGCGTGATCTAGAGGCCTTTTACTTTCATATAAGCCACCTCTGATACCAAATGATCAACTAGAAGTCAAGTTATTATTTGTTGTTCATAAAACTTGGATAGACGACAAGACTTTTGTCAGGGAATTTACACAATCATTCAGATTTCTTCTGCTATGTTCATACTTGTGTGATCAAATGCATTCAGACATCCTCTAAAGACTACCTACATCCTGTGAAGACTGCCTGCTGATCTTGGCTGATTTAATGATTTTAATTTGATTATTATTTCTTCTTTGGATTTATATGTAAATGAGCTTATTTGCAACATTTGACTGAAAGATCAGGAAAACACTGCATACATACAGTACACCCGCACTTAGACCAACTCACTCAAATATTTTAGGAATGTAGTGAAAAAAGGCAATGTGTCTGTGATTTTAATACCATCTGTGTCTGATTTATTTACAGAAGCTTTAAACAATACTGTAATAGAACCAGACAATTCTTCAAGTCATTTCTAAAATGCCTCTTGGTTTCTTGGTATTTGTGTAAAAACACCTGTATTGCTGTTTTGATTGATGAGTCAGAATCAAATGAATGTTATATAACTGTGGCTTTGGGTGTGTCTGTTAATCACAGGTGCCTTCATGTTCCCATACTTCATCATGCTGGTGTTTTGTGGCATCCCTCTATTCTTCCTGGAGCTCTCCTTTGGCCAGTTCACCTCTCTCGGGTGCCTGGGTGTCTGGAAGGTCAGCCCTATGTTTAAAGGTGAGCACTTGGCCATTAAAGAAAATCCTCCCATCATTTACCCACTCTCCAATGGTTCAAAACCTAGAGTTAATATCCTCTTGATAAACACAAAAGAAGATATTTTGAAGAATGATGGAAATTTGAGACCTTTGAGCCTTATATTTTTTCCCGTACTATGGATGTCAAAGGCTATATTAAACCAATTGAGCATTTGTAAATGGTACTGCTCCTATAAATATCGTGAAAATACCTCTGAAGCCTTTTTATTACAACAAAAAACGTTTAGCTGGAACTCTGTGGCGGGGTTGGCATTAAATGAATGTCTTGGCTTGTTTAGTATTTTAAAAGTAATTAATTTTTAATATAAGCTCAGTATTTCCTTCACATCAGAGAGGGTTGCAATAAAAAATTCACATACTATAATACTTAAATTGTTTACTGTAAGTTTAAGTCAAAACGTGTTTAGCAAATAATTGTTAAATGTTTAGTTACTGTTACAGTGCACAGCATGAATGTGTACATCGCCCTTTGAAAATGAATATTTCTTATCAATTTCTCTGTGAATATAGACAATATATTTTGGTGCATCTGAACAATGAATACAACAGTTATATTCATTAAAATTGTGGTCACCTACACTGTTAAAAGATCCTTATTGCCTTACATTTTTAAGCTCAAATCAAATAAACATTATAAGTCCATTGAACTTATGTTAAACAAACAGCTTGCATAACTTATCAAATTAAGTTAGAACATGATAACTTTAGGTTAATAAGTACCAATGACCTAAAACATGTGCTGTCAGAACTAATTGATCATATATTTTTTTACAGTGTAACATCTTTAGTAATAGTAAGATTATACATTTAAATTTAAATGAGGTGTTGCAAAAAATTTATAGTTTTTATGATTTTCTTGATTTTGCTTTTTTTTATTAAAATGTCATTTAATATTTTCACTGACACAAATTTTTGCATCGTTTTTGAATTCTATAGAAACTCCTGCATTATAAGAAATATCTGTAAGGGGTGTACAATCCATGCTGTGCACTAAATATATTACTTCAGATTTTCCAATTAGAATAAACTTGATAGAATTTATCTGATTAAATAATTGGTTGATTTGACAATTTTTTGATTGAATGAATGAATGAATAATTAATTAATTAATTAACTATTTCTACTAAGAATGTTACTCAGAATTTTTTTATTATATCAGAATACCATAACCATTCACAATGTTGCTTAAGTATCATTGGGATGCTTTTGTAGTTTTTTAAAAATATATTTATTAAAATATATTAAAATATCCAGTGAGTGGCAGTTCTGTGGATGCAAATGCCTTGTTGATGCCAAAGGTCAGAGGCGAATGGCTTTACTGGTTCGAGCTAATAGAAAGGCATCAGTAACTTAAATAGCCACTCGTTACAACCGATGAATGCAGGAGAGCATCTCAGAATGCACAACACGTCGAACCTTGAGGCGAATGGGCTACAGCAGCAGAAGACCACACAGGGTACCACTCCTTTCAGCTAAGAACAGGAAATTAAGGCTACAATTCGCACAGGCTCACCAAAATTGGACAATAGAAGATTGAAAAAACGCTGCCTTGTCTGATGAGTCTCGTTTTCTGTTGCAACATTCAGATGGTAGGGTCAGAATTTGGCATCAACAACATGAAAGCATGGATCCATCCTGCCTTGAATCAACAGTTCAAGCTGCTGGTGGTGGTGTAATAGTGTGGGGGATATTATCTTGGCACACTTTGGGCCCAATAGTACCAATTGAGCATCGTGTCAATGCCACAGCCTACTTGACTGTACTCTGATGTTATAAAGCAAGACTCATCTCAGACTGGTTTCTTAAACATGACAATGAGTTCACTGTACTCAAATGGCTTCCACAGTCAACCAAATCTCAATCCAATAGAGCACCTTTAGGATGTGGTGGAACGGGAGATTCACATTATGGATGTGCAGCCAACAAATCTGCAGCAACTGCTTAATGCTATCATGTCAATATGGACCAAAATCTCTGAGGAAAATTTCCAGTACTTTGTTGAATTAATGGCACAAAGCATTCTGGCAGTCCTAAAGGCAAAAGGTGGTCTAACTCAGTACTAGTAAGGTATACCTAATAAAGTGGCGGGTGAGTGTATATGACTAATATGTTCTTGGCAACTAGCTTAATATAAATTAAAAATAGATGTTTTAGTTTTAATTACCTGTAATAACCCTCCCATTCATTAGTTACATTGTCCAAATTCTCTTTGAACTGAAAATGCAGAACTACCGTACTTATTTAGTAACGTTAGGTGTTTAATATGTAAAACATTTTAAAATATTTTTCAAAAATGCAGTTTAGTTATTAATTTTTTTGGGTTTTTGAAATCCAAAGCATCCCTAAACATGCTTTATTTTAAATCTCTTGCATTGTTTCTCTCTCCTGCAAGGTGTGGGCTATGGAATGATGGTAGTCTCCACCTACATTGGGATCTACTACAATGTGGTGATCTGCATTGCATTTTATTATTTCTTCATGTCCATGACAAATCTGCTGCCCTGGACGTACTGTAACAACCCCTGGAACACCCCTGACTGCAGTGGGGTGGTGAGCACTCATCGTGCCAATGCCACTTTCGCCAACATGTCTGCTGTTGTGTCCGGGGTAACTGAGATAGTCAACCGCACCAAGAGGACCAGTCCCAGTGAAGAGTACTGGAGGTATGCTTTCATTCATTCTTTTTCTTTGCGGCTTAATCCCTATATTAATCAGGGGTTGCCACAGCGTAATGAACCACTGGAGGTATACTAATATCATATAATATTTAGGTCACACTTTATTTTGATGGACCATTTGTTGAATTTAAGTTACATTGCAACTAATTGTAATTACATTATAAGTAGACTGTAAGGTTGGCGTTGGGGTGTAAGTTGACATGTACTTGCAAAGTCTCTTATAGTCAGTTAAATGTCTGTTGAAGGAGCAGCATCAACAGATGTTAAGCAGACAGTCCACTAATACTCAAATGGACCATCAACATAAAGTGTTACCAATATTTATCCTCCCCATCGTTTATTTTGTCCTGCATGTTCTGCATGCTGATTAAACAACCTGGCTTTGATCAGACAAATGTATCTCAAATAATATTAAGCAGTGAAAAGCACTTTTTAAAAATAATATTTTACAAAACAAAAATGAAATGGTATAATATATAACAAATATTTCTATTATATGAAGACAAATGTGTAAGTTTTGCATTTCACTTTATTTTTCAAGTGTAGAAATAGCAGAGAAGATGTTCAAGTCTTTATGCATTTTAAATAATAAATTATAATAAACATTACCATATTTTGTGTTTTTGGAAGATTAAAAAGATTTTAAGAGATTAAAATAATAAGAAATTGAATACAGCTTTAATCTTCTCCTCCATTAAAAAAACACAACTATCATACTTTACAAAAGACACCCACTAAAATGTCATATATAACAATGTCAAACCAAAATGGGACGTGTTGTCTTTGACCTTTATACATACATATAAGGGGGGGGGGGGGGGCTAGAGGACCTAGAAAGCTGAATATCAGTATAATTAGTCAGTCAATCTATTGCTCATCAGAACTGAATATTCATGACAGGTTTATAATTGAAAGCTAGTAATTAATACATGTTTGGCGCTTGTATTGGACTTGACAGATGTGTTTGTTGAATAATGTTTGAACGCTATGTAGGCTGACATAACAAGACAATGAAAGGCACGGAGTGTTTTGTTTTTCCAAGAGTGTGGTTGCATGTGGTGTGTGTAATGAATGCTTCACTATGCTGCCAGTGGTGGAGATGTGTGTGGACCGTTGAACATCTTTAGAAATAATTGTTGTCCATGTTTTATGAAAGACATTCTTGTTCTTGCCTTCTGTAATCTCATTCATTGTGACAGAGGTTGGTTTCGAAATGGATTGTTTAGATTTTTTTTTTCACTCAATGCTTAAACCTGAAGTCAAGGACTGACAAAAATAGATTTAGATTTTTGTGATAAAATTGATGAGGGAACGGTTCTGCTTTATCTCACATCCCGCAGTTTCTTACATGCCTCTTTCACTGTGTTTTGTTCTGTCAGGAACTATGTGCTTAATATCTCTGACGGCATTGGGAATTTTGGTGAGGTGCGTCTGCCTATCCTGGGTTGTCTGGCTGTGTCATGGTTTGTCGTGTTCCTCTGTCTTATTCGGGGAGTCAAGTCATCAGGCAAGGTGAGTAAAACACCTAAAGGTCATTGCAGGTCATTTTTATTTATACAAATATTCTCAAGTTACTGTATTATCTGGAAAATAAGTTAAGAGTTAAAATTGCATTGTTGTGGAACAAACAGACTTGCACTAACACACGAGCGTTGCTCACACATGCTCATGTGCACACACACATGTAAAAAAAAAAAAAACTTTAAAATTCACAGTATTACTGGCAACCAAAGTAAACTGTAAAATAATAAAGTAAACACTAGAAATAATAATTACTAATAACTACTGACACTACAAAAACTACTATTAAAAATACAGCACAATTGAAATTGTTAAATTACAGCGCACTTGTAAATTTTACAGCAATTTTTTACAGTGCACGCAAACACACATACACAGGATGGTGTACTCTGAAATAAACGCGCAAAATAATCATGTTTCATTTGTTAAAATAAGTTTATGCCTTATATAGTTAATGACTTATATCGTTTAAACTAAGGTTTTGGAGTATGGAGCCTGATCAATCTCAAAAATAATACATTTACAAACTAAAACGCATACATGCACATCACAATTCACAATTACATAATACAATTTGTTAATTTGTAAACACAAAATTCATGAGTAAAAAATACAAGTAAAAATAAGAAATATTTTCGCAGAATTAACTGAATTTGCATAATTTTGAATCATATCTTGAATTTACTTGTATACTTTTAAATCGTATTTCGAATTTCTGAATTGAATTTGTTTATTTATAAATCATGTTTTAAATTAACATATTGGATTTGTGTATTTATAAACCGTGTTGTTAATTTACAAACTGGATTTTGTAAACGTGAATTGTGTTGTGGATGTATTAATTTTATTTTATATATTAATTATTTTTGCAATTGATCTGGCTCCATGTTAGAGAGGTTTATTTTAGCTATATAAAGTGAGTGAAATATCTAATATAAACCACCAGAGTTTGCTATTTTGCTCCTAAGTTGTATCGCGGATGAAATATTGGTTAAATTATAATTGTTCTCCACAAAAGGGACAGCCAAAGATGTATTTACAGTTGTATTTTGAGGCTTTAATATATACAAAAACACAGGCAGGAATTAATATCAACAGAAAAAATTTTTATCATCTTTTCATTCTAGAATAATGACAGTAAGAGCGGAGAGATATGACATGTTGCATAAATATGTACTGAACACTTATCAACTATAGACTATAGAATAGACAAGACATGTCTCTCATATCAGTTTGAATGGGGAAAAATGTAACTGTCAATATGGCAAATAAAGCCCCGCCTTCTAGTACAGGAGCCAATTGTCAATCACAATAGACTGAAGATTCTCAGTGGGAGGGGCTCGAACCAGACTAGAATATCTGCAGATTTTGTGTGATTCAAATGTTTAGAAATTAAACTATAGAAACAGTTGTTGTTTCTTTTTATTGTTGATTCCTAATATGACATTTAATCATAAGCTTGGCAAGCAATTTTGGAGAATTTGATGTTTCCCCATTCAAACAGAATGTCCAAGCATACTGCCCAAGAGGCGTTTCAAAGATAGCCCCTAGTGAAATGACTTGCCTTAAAGGGACTTATACTCGACAGTCTATTTGTGTTTGTTGCCTCATTATAAAATATACATGGCACTTTTCATAATATATACATTAAACTAACAAAAGATACATTTAAACAGACCATATGCCATTTTGGTGTGGCACTGAATAAATGTATAATTTGTAAATCCTGCTCTTTGCATTCTGATGGCTGTGAACAAATGGCTGGCTGCTTATTAAAGCCCTTCTACCACTAGACGTGAAGCACCACACCACACCGCTTATTTAAAAATACTACACAATGTTTGCCATATCAGAAATGTCATTATTTGACCAACAGAGGACCATATGAGAACATTATATTAATGTCCCAAATATCCTTTGTGACATTTAAGATGTCAACATAAAATAACCAAAATGGAAGGTCACTCTGAAGTCATTGAACATCAGTGCTAACCAAAAGAGGATGTTTTAGGAATATCCCTCATTTTATGTAAAGCATTTGGGACTTTTGTAACCTTTAGAGAATGAGGCAATTATATATATATATATATATATATATATATATATATATATATATATATGTGTGTGTTTTGCTTTCCTAATGTTAATTGCATTAGGCAAGTCACTTTTGAAATTGTTACAGCTCAATTTAAATGAAAAAAATAAATAAATAAATGCACACACGCACAAATGGTTGTTCTATAAAATAAAAAACCTTAAACTAGAAAAAAAAACTGAAGTTAATTCAAATTAGAAGTTGGAACTGGAAGTTGCTAAGACTTCTGTTTGTTGATGTACTTCCAACCAAAACGGAATATTAAGTAAGGGCTTTCTTTTGCCCATCATTCACTTATAGCAAACCAACGGTAAGAGGGGCGTGATTAAAAAAATGAATGAAGCATATGGTCAGACTTCGAAGATTACCAAAACATCAATTTTCAGTGGAATAACTTGCATAGATTAATTGTTCACCCAAATAATAACAATGAACCCTAGCAAAATTTTATTTCACAATTGAATTGACTAAAACTGAAATACAAATAAAGATAAATTGAAATGAAAAAAGACAAATGTACAAATCAAAATAACTAAAACAGAAAACTAAAAATGTTACCTCATTCAATTTTATAAATAAATAATAAATTATGTTTTTTATCAGGTGGTGTATTTCACGGCGACTTTCCCGTATGTGGTGCTGACGATTCTCTTCATCAGAGGAATCACTCTGGACGGAGCCATCAGTGGTATAAAATACTACTTGACCCCTCAGTGGCAGAAGATTCTAGACGCAAAGGTCTGTACATTTCACATTTGCAAATTTGCCAAGTGACCACTGATTTTGATAGGCATAATGAAATATTTTGTGTTTTGTAGGTGTGGGGGGACGCTGCCTCTCAGATTTTCTATTCACTGGGGTGTGCCTGGGGTGGCCTTATCACCATGGCATCATATAACAAGTTCCACAATAACTGTTTCAGGTAATAAGCGCAACATCCATCTGAATTTATTGTTTTTCTGAGTACTGAGCAAGAGCTTTGTAGCTATTGTAATTGGTGACTTACTATATATTTGGCTTGCTTTACTCTGCAGCGCCCCCATGTGGATGATACTGATAAATGCATATAACTTTAACTGATAAATGCTTTTAAAGAACATGTGAAATTGATAACGTACATCTATAGTAAGAAAAAAAATACTTTGAAGGAGTAATTTTTTGGTGGACTATCCCGTTACTTGTTTGATTTAACTGTAAATTGAATGGAAATGTTTGTCTGTTTTCAAACAGGGACAGTATTATCATCAGTGTAACCAACTGTGGCACCAGTGTGTACGCTGGCTTCGTTATTTTCTCAATCCTGGGATTCATGGCTCATCATTTGGGGGTGGACGTATCAGAAGTGGCTGATCATGGTCCAGGGCTGGCATTTGTGGCCTACCCAGAAGCCCTGACACTGCTGCCCATTTCACCACTCTGGTCTCTGCTCTTCTTCTTCATGCTCATCCTATTGGGTTTGGGCACTCAGGTATTCATTTTGTTCTGTAACTTTTCTTCTTATCTCATTACTAAAGTTCTGCAATTACACTGGCTTAGAAGTTTGTCAAAAAAATCTAATACTGAAAACCAGGAAAATGAGTAGCTATATAAATTTGCAATATAAAGTTGCAATATAAACTTCTATTATACAATATATCCATCTCAAATAAAATAAAAAAGTAATGTAGAGGATTTTTTATTTATTTTAATTTCATTTATTTGTTTATTTTTGATTACACTTAGTTAAACTAACAGTTTTAATTTGTTTTGAAAACCTTGATTAAGACACAGAATATGAGTTTTATAGTGTTTTGAAGTTAAAACATTGGTTTCAATTTACTAGGACTTCTATGTGAAGCTGCTTTGACACAATCTACATTGTAAAAGTGCTCTAGAAATAAACATGAATTGATTTGAATTTTGTTATCTTAAAAAATCATTTTTTGGTTCTTTAAAACCTCTAAATTACCATTTTTATTTTAAATTTGGCAGAAGTGTCATCAGAAGTTTATAGAATAAACCAAAATGTTCACAATATGTATGGCATTTCTTTTAGAAAAAGTATTGTTTACTAATAATTTATATAAAAATTCATATCGTTTCTGATATTTTATGTTGTAGTTCTGCCTGTTGGAGACTCTGGTGACGGCTGTAGTAGATGAGATTGGAACTGACTGGATTATCAAAAATAAGACTTATGTCACACTGGGAGTTGCTATAATAGGTTTCCTTCTTGGAGTGCCACTAACTACACAGGTGAGCACACACACACACACACACACACACTTACACACACACACACACACACTTACACACACACACACACACACACACACATACAAACACACACATAAACACACACACAAACAAACACACTGTGTTTTATAAGATAGTTTCCTCATAAGGACCAAAAAATGCCCCACAAGGTTTACTATGGAGCCAGATCAGTGACAAAAATAACACATTTATAAAATAAAATTGATACATCCACAACACAAGTTACATTTCCAAAATACAATTAGTAAATTCAAAACGCGATTTATCAATGCACAAATCCAATTCGTAAATTCAAAACATGATTCATTCATTCGTTCATTCATTCGTTCATTCATTCATTCATTTATTCATTCATTCGTTCATTCATCCATTTTCTTTTTTGCTTTGTCCCTTTATTAATCGGGTTGTCACAGTGGAATAAACAGCCAATTTGTAAGTTAAAAGCACAATTCAATAGTATGCAAATCCAATTCGTAAATGCAAAACACGATTTATAAATACACAAATCCTTTTCATAAATTTAAAACATGATTCAAAAGTACACATTCAATTTGTAAATTCAAGATATGGTTAAAAAATACACAAATTCAGTTCATTTGGTGGAAATATTTATGATTTTTACTTGTAAAATAACAAATTATGTTTACAAATTGACAAATTGCATCTTGTAAATGTGAATTGTGCTGTGCATGTATGAGTTTTATTTTGTAAACGTATTATTTTTGAGACTGATCTTGCTCCATAGTTTAACAGTATTGCTATACTTGTGAGGACATTTAAAATGTTTAAATGCAAGGTACTCACACACATCCTTCATCCATGGACTAACATAAGTTGTTGTCCTGTTTGTGATGTAGGCGGGAATTTACTGGTTGCTGCTCATGGACAACTACGCTGCCAGTTTCTCTCTGGTCATCATCTCTTGCATTATGTGCATCTGTATAATGTATGTCTATGGTAAGTCATCTAAGGCACTTTCTACACGCCCCTACATAAGCCACACTAGAACTGAGGTGTTCATTCTCAGAATTGCTTTCCTTTCAGGTCACAAGAACTACTTTAAAGATGTGGAGATGATGCTGGGCTTCCCTCCTCCAATCTTCTTCAGGATCTGCTGGAGATATGTGTCTCCTTTCATCATTACTGTGAGAGACAGTCTGTTTTTATTTATTATTATACATTTCTTTCTACATTCTTCAAACTAATCCTTCTTTTTGGTTGTTTTCCCCACAGTTCATTCTGATATTTACAGTGATACAGTATAAGCCCATTACCTACAATGACTATGTCTACCCTGGTTGGTCATTGGTCATTGGGTTTGCCATGGCTTTGTCTTCTGTTATCTGTATACCTATATATGCTCTGTTCAAGATTGCCATGTCTGAAGGATCCACCTTTTTGGAGGTAAGACGTGTTCAGATTTAAGTGCTGTATAGAAAGTTCTTAAAAGGATAGTTCACCCATTAGTGAAAATACTCATCCCTCACACTTATTCCACATTTATTTGAGTCTCTCTTTTTTGTTTAACACAAAAGATATATTTTGAACAATCTTGGAAACTAGTAACCAGATGCCACAATTTGTCAAATGCATCCATAGTAAGGAAAAAAAAAGCATTATAAGACTCAATAGCTCCTTTCACACAGTGATACCAGTAATATTTTAGAAAATTTCTAGAACGACTTTACCGGTAAATAAAATAAATGCGCTGTTCACACAGGCAAGGACATTGCCTGAAATGAGCTCTAAACCTCTAAATGACCTCTCGTTTTTGTAAAGATAGAAGAGGTCAGGCTTTTGTTGATGGTTTCACTTTTATTTAAAGCTTTAGCATTCATGCAGCTTATGCCAGAGACATCCAAGGGCTGAAGCGTGAACCACAGCTAAATGTTTACACATTTGACTACATAACAAATTCTGTGGATGAATAAGTATTGTGAACAACTTTGATGAACACATATGGAGGAACACTTGTCGAGATGTACATAATGTGTCAAGCAACTGAAGCAGAGCTTCAACCACGCGGATGTAAATGCCTCTAAATGTTCTGATTGGCTGGAGTAGACGTCTCACGTCAGCGCGTTCAAATCATGAACACACTCTTTCCGACAATTTTTTTCTGCGTTCACATAGAGCAGCATTCTGGCAAATTACCATATTGCAGTAATGTTACAACTTCCCTTTCTGGAAAATTGCTAGAACAAATTTACTAGTATTTACCGAAAAGGTCTGTATGTGTGAAAGGAGCTATTAAGTAGAAGTTTCCAACATTCTTCAAAAAAATAAATAAATAAATAAAATACTAGGTATAAAAAAAATTTTTAAACCATATTTTTGGGTACCTACTTTTTTTGGTAAATGTTTAAAATTATGTAAATTTGCATGCAAACAAACATCAGTCATGTCATAATAATATTATTTTTTCAAAATAATTTTTTGTCTATTGAATTATAATTATTATTTGGTTCTTAGAATTTTTTTAAACATGGTATTGCATTTTATATACAGTTTGTCACTTAATGGCCTAACATCACATCTGTATAACAACTGTTTCACACCGCACATGTGAGCAACGTGTGAGTGTTTTCTGGCGTCCGTGTTAACAGATTAGAGCTTTCATATTGCACGCAGAAGCAGCGCAGCAGTGCTGTGATGGTTTCGGCGCTGGGTCTATTTTTGCCGCGCTGCTCATTCTCAATTAAAGTGACAGTGCATTGATAATGACCAAAAATACATTGAATGACAGTAAAAAGTAGCAATTTTACCCACTAAATGCATCAGTAATATATACTGATTTTCATATTTTTAACCAAATTAAGTTAAAACTATTAAAAACGACAACAAATATTTAATTGGGGTCAAACTACAAAACCAAATTTAAAACAACTTTAGTATTAGTTTTGCTAATTTAAGTTTGATCATGTATAAATATTATTATAACAATTGTATAAATATTATTGTAACTGTAGCGTCACGGTGGTGCAATGGGTAGCACAAACGCCTCACAGCAAAAAGGGTAGCACAATCGCGCAATGGGTAGCACAATTGCCTCACAGTAAGAAATTTGCTGGTTTGAACCCCGGCTGTGTGAATGCAAATTTATGGGCATCCACTGTGTAAACATATGCTGGATAAGTTGGTGGTTCATTCCACTGTGGCAACCCCTGATTAATAAAGGGACTAAGCCAAAAAGAAAATGAATGAATGAATAAATTATAACTATAGGCCTACATCATGCTGACAATCAAAAACAAAATGACATGATATCATAGGAGTGCACCTTAAAAGACATGAATAACACTCTTTGTAGAGCTTGAGAAGCATACAGTTCTTTAGAATCTATATACTGTAAATCTATTTTGGATGGATGGATGGATGGATGGATGGATGGATGGATGGATGGATGGATGGATGGATGGATGGATGGATGGATGGATGGATGGATGGATGGATGGATGGATGGATGGATGGATGGATGGATGGATGGATGGATGGATGGATGGATGGATGGATGGATGGATGGATGGATGGATGGATGGATGGATGGATAGATAGATAGATAGATAGATAGATAGATAGATAGATAGATAGATAGATAGATAGATAGATAGATAGATAGATAGATAGATAGATAGATAGATAGATAGATAGATAGATAGATAGATAGATAGATAGATAGATAGATAGATAGATAGATAGATAGATAGATAGATAGATAGATAGATAGATAGATAGATAGATAGATAGATAGATAGATAGATAGATAGATAGATAGATAGATAGATAGATAGATAGATAGATAGATAGATAGATAGATAGATAGATAGATAGATAGATAGATAGATAGATAGATAGATAGATAGATAGATAGATAGATAGATAGATAGATAGATAGATAGATAGATAGATAGATAGATAGATAGATAGATAGATAGATAGATAGATAGATAGATAGATAGATAGATAGATAGATAGATAGATAGATAGATAGATAGATAGATAGATAGATAGATAGATAGATAGATAGATAGATAGATAGCTTTGCGCTGCAGACACAGCCGGTGCGGTGTGAAAGGCAAATGGTTATTCGCTGCTTCTGCTCTCTATACGTGCTGCTAATGCTCTGATCAAGTGTGAAACAGGTGTAAAATCACATAACTAAAAAATAAAAAAATTAATAGGTGAGTGGACTGGACCCGTTGGAAACAAATTTTCCTCTCTATTTGCACTAGACACTTTCTTATAAACTATTCATGCTTCTGGGAGAAAGAACTCCTAAACTCAGTCTCTCTGCTGATTTGAAGTGTTCTTTTATCCTAATTTGTAAGCCGCTTTGGATAAAAGCATTTGCTAAATGATTCAATTTGATACTTGTCTTGTAATGCGCCCTTTTTTTAAAGCACAGCAACTTTTCCAACCAAAACTCGTTAACCGTTTTTTTGCAGCGTTTGAAGAACTCTGTGAAACCCGACCCGGACTGGGGCCCGGCTCTCCAGGAGCACCGCAAGGGTCGATACGCCACGGCAGGCCCCGAGTCAGTAGAGGTGTCTCCTCTCAAAGAAGATCTGAAGGACGAGGGCAAAGACAAACTCACGGAGAAGGAGAAAGAGACAGAGAAAAAGGACGAGATTGGTCTGACCATCCCAGGAAGCAACGGCTCGACATTGAACCCCACACCCAGCGCATAGAGGACCCCTGCCCACCCTCCCCAGGACGGTTCCCATTCCCACACTGCGGGACAGGAGACCTTTACATATTGTAAGGGCTTTATGAAATCTAACCTCTAGAGAAATCGGTTGCCATTCAAAACCTATTTCTTTTTTTTTGTTCTTCACATAATTTAATACAGCCGTTTGTTTGAAACAAAAGACATGTTCATATCCAGGAGGTGTTTGCATACACGCATTGTGTATATAGCGCATTGTACAATATTTTCACTCTGTGTTGAGTAGTCTGGAGATGTGACTGTAGCGGCAGCAGGAGCTACAGTGAGATTTGGCTTGTGTGTGAGAGTGAGTGTGTGTGTGCGTGTGGTGGCGGCAGTGCTGGTCAGGTTTAAAAGCTGAAGACCAAATATTCTTTGCGGCAATGTTGCAATGGCACTGTTAAGGGAAGTCTGAATCAGTTCCCATTTCTGTTTATGTTCTCATCGTCCTCATTTCATTCACAAGCCAATATGAGTTGTCATTGGCATATATGATTTGAATGCACCATATTAACTCAGAAGATGTCTACTGTCCATTGACTAGACTACTCATACATGTTGGAGATACACACACAAAAAACAACAGGCCAACAGAATATCAACTCTTATTTCCCTTGAAGTGAGGGCACATCTGCAAAAAACAACAAAGGATATTTGGTCTTTAGCTCTTACTGACTGAGGTATCTGGACCGAGGCATATAACTTCTCAAGCCCATTCTCAGGGTCACACACAATTTGCTTTTATATATGCGAATCGTTTTCCAACACCTTGAGATGAGTTATTGCTGATGTTGAGCGTTAGACACGAAGGCGAGGGGTTTTCATGTAGGAACTTCCACGTGAAATGCCAAATCTGTCTAGTCTTCCTGGCAATGTGGAGCCGAGGGGAGCATGTGTGCGATAACTAAAGCAACTAGTTTTCATTAGACGCAGTACTGTAGTATGCACACTAACCCCGCTCTTCACAGAAAAAGAGGCATGTTACCAAAAACATGTGCACAGACCTTTGTATCCTGATGATTTTAGTTGGTTTGTTTGTGTTTGTGTGTACAGTTTTTTTGTCGTCTACGTGCGTTGCGAGACTTGAAATGGTGTGTGTGTGTGTCATTTAAAGGCATCTGGCTGTGCTGAGCCAAGCGGTCGCGCGATTGAACACTGAATTATGGATAAGTTGGCGTGTAGAACGACTGGAGGAAAACGTAGCATCGGTTAAAATCATGAGCTAGTTAGCTTTTGTGAGTAACAGTTGGCAATGTTAAACTGTGATTGTTACAGCTGAAACCACAGCATATTAGGTGTGTTTTGTTTTGGTTTTATAGCTAATAAGGAAGGGACATACTGGTATCGAGAGTTTGGTCATATTTTTGGTATGGCTAGATGCCGCATATCATATCATTCCAGTGATTTTTCAATAGGGCCCCTACTTACGATGCATAACGGTTGCAGTGGCACATATACATGGATATAGAGTCCTGGTTACACTGTGAATTGTCTGGGAAGTTGCCTGACATCTTTTAACAGGGAAGTCTGACAACATAGCTGCTAATATGCTGATGCACCATGTAGAGACTTCTGAATAAACAGTAAATCGCTGTATATAGTCAAAGTAGTTATTACTCTCCTGCCTTGTGCGAGGAGAAATGCAATACATATGACATGCTCTGTTATTTTGAGTCTAAACGGGACACATACAAGCAAAAAATAATAATATTCAGCTTTTAAATTAGCTGTATTGTGTTATGAAGCTCAAGCAAATATTTTGACTCTCTTTAATGTGGCTTTCACTACAGGGCTGTTGAATGCTTGATTCTTATTGGTTAATCAGTGTTCACCGTATATGTGTGCAGATATTTGTGAGGAGACACACAGATTAATTAGTTCCAGGCAGGTTTTGACCGCATTGTAGTTTCAGATCACTTCAACAAATTTTGTTAAACAACAAAACTTAAACCAGTAAAGAGACAGATCAAATTAGTTTTTCTCACAAAACTGCACAGCAAGATTTTTTTTTTTTTTATTAAATGTCTAATAGACATTCAAAAGTAGATGGTGTGACATTTAATAGACGTCTAACAAACCACAAGCCATCTTTCTTTTGCAGTCCAGGAATCTAAACTTATGACTCGGTTAATTGGCGCAGTTAGTGTAAGACTGATCAATCAACAAATCTTTTGTACATATCGATACTTAGTGCTAGAGTATCGATAATGTTTCGCAGCCGGAAATATCCTGATAAATCGATATTTTATTTTTTTTATTCTCCTATTGTAAAGTCATGAAGTTTATAACCTTCTGTTGCTGATCCATCTTGCAGTGTAAACTGCACCAACAGAATGCTACCCCAGATAGTCAAGCAATGTGAACACATCTGTGATGTGACTACTTTGAAAATCATGCAGTCTGGACGCAGATCAATCAAAATCAAGCGTTCATCTGCTTCGAATGTTATCACTCGATTAAATGGCCATTATCAGTGGTTATCAGCTGATAAATATGGGTCATTAGGCTACATACTAGTAGCCCACAGATCTCCAGGTCTGTGTTTACATTACTGTTACGGTTGGGGTAGGGGTTGACGTTAATAAAATACAAATAATGGGAAATTTAATTAATTATTTTAATATTTCTTATCAATTTCCAGCCTCAGCCGTATGTGATCTATAGGTGATTAACCATGTTGATGGATGATAACAGCCTTCTGAGCCTACCAGTAGGCACAGAAGGCCCCTACTAGCCCATATCTATCAGCTGATAACCACTGATAATGCATTCAATCGAGTGATAACATTTGAATCGACAGCATCAGCCCAGTAGTATACATTTTAATGAACATATTATTTATGTCTTAATAAAAGTATGCTTAGAAAAAAAAAAACTATTTTTTAATGTATTTTTTTGAAATAGTTGTTTGTTGCATAAAAATCAAGATGTGTTTGACGACTCAAAATGCTGGAGCAGGTCACAGATAAAGTCAGTATTCAAAATGCCTGATGGCATAATAGTCATTGTTTTTTGTACACTTTATTAATCTCTGCATGAAGGTATGTATATATAAATATTTTCAAGATTTTATCCAAAAATATACAAAACACAATCTAACTTTAGAAAGTAGCAAAAAAACAAATAAATAACAAGACAAAAAAAAAAAAAGAGAGACCCAACAATATTAAAAGTAACCCTGCTGCCTAACCAGAGATATCGGACACTCAGGGGAGTAGATAGAGGTTCAGAGGTCATAGTTCAAGCTCACAAACACTAGCTTTTCCTCTGTTAGACGCAGTAGATTAGAGCAGCAGAGAGACTAACAGCACTTTTATTTGCTAGTTCAGTTTAGCTAGCAAAAGTATGATTAATCGCTGTCACAAAAATGAATGCACAAGATTGAAACCCTCTCTCATTTGTTCGATGTGTGGTCCTTAGACCTTGAACGTGGCATGAAGACCGTGTGTCTGTTTTTAGGAACTGCGTTGTGAACAGACCTTGACATACAAACTCTTTGTAATAGTAGACATATGTTCTGCATCAGTGCCATTCTAGCACTGCTCCCCAACTCTTGCTCTCTCTCTATCCCGTTTTATCTCTCGCTCTCTCTTTCTCCACTGTACAGTAATGTAAAAAAAAGAGACAAAAACTCAACAGATGTGTTTTTTGTGTGCGTGTGTGTGTGTGTGTTTTCTGTTTTTATCAGGGTGGGTTGCTCTAGCGGGGTTTATTTTTTAGTTGTTTTTACTTGATTTCTTATTGTAACGTAGCTAATGTCATGTGTACAGTTTCCTGTGTAGTGAACGTTCAACTGCTGAATCAAACCTAGTAGTCACAATTGATGTCATGTAATTTTAATCAGTATGTAATTATCCGTTTTGCCATTTAACAAGCAGAATCTACCTTTGTAAGAGATTTGTTCCTTTTTATTTTTATAGTACTAAAACTGTATTTTATCACCAGTTGTAATCATTTAGCAATGTTCAGTGACACTACAGTTTTTTTGTTTTGTTTTTCCCTCTAAACCTCCTCAAGCCAGCTGATCTCAAATGCATTGCCAAACAAAGGCTTTGGACTGAAACTTGAAAACACAGGAATGCTTTTTACTGGATTGTCTGGGTAAATTGTTTGCTGATGAGGAAGGACGAAGTCTAAAGCCAACAATCTTCATCTCAGTATTGTAAACGCGTGTATTTATAGCACCGCAAAACCCTTTAAGAACGTTTCTGTGGATTTTAGTCAGCCGTGATCCAGTTTCATGTTATTCAGCACAACTGACAAAGCACATGGGGGGAATGTTTTAACACATAAGCCGATCTTTTATTTATAAAATGCCCCTGAAATAAAATAAAAAACTCAATTAAAAGGGTCATATTATGATTTTCGGTTAACTTTAACTTGGAAAAACATCTGCAAAGTTACAAAGAACAGAATCCACTTCAGAGTTTCCAGCAGACACTTTGATGCCAAAAGCAAATCAAATTGACATTGATGTCAGACCAAAATCATCATGAACACACTGTAAAAACCCAGTAAGTGAAGGTAACTAGAACTATTTGAGCAAACTGATTACAACAAACCATTTAAGTTTAAAAACTAATCCTAATGAGCACTGTGAACTTAATTCATTTGAGTAAACGAAGCAATTTGAGCACAGCAAAACCCAATAAATGAAGAGAACTCAAACCAACTGAGTACTGTAAAACCCACTAAGTTAAGCTAAACCGTTTGAGGAAAGCGATTGATACAAATTAAATGAGTTAAAAAATCTCTATGAGTACTGTGAACTTACTCCATTTAAGTTAAAGTAATGAGGAATTTAATTAACTCATTACCTTCAACACTGAGTGTAAAACTCTTTTCAAATGAGTAGAATTACCTTTCAGTCAATTTTGAGTTAACTACACTCATTTCATTTAATCAAGGTGACTGTTGGGTTTTACATTGTATTAATCGATTTGGTGTCAAAACCTTTTTATTTATTTGATATTCACACATTGATGCCCTTTTGACCACCATCCTTTTTTTTTTTTAAACCTGTTTTTTAAATGTGCTTTTTGCACAACAAAACTACAACAAAATATATAAGAAAAAAAACAATAACAATAATAATAATACATATAAAATACATAAAAACACCTATGACAGAACACAGAGGGACAAAAGCTAAATATAATTTAGCTGCTCAGGTAATGCATAGTTCTTATATTCCCAGAAAAATGAATTATCCTGACTTTAGTTTTATTGTGAAATAATAGTTTGGGCACAGTATTAAAAACTTTATGAATAGTGAATATCAATTACACTCAATCTTTATTTACTATGTTATTGACGGGGGCCACTGGTTATGCTGGCTTTTCTTCCAATGCATTAAGGTGTTCTAATATCTATTCCCATATTTTATAAAATATCTTTAATTTATTGTTATTGATATTTCTCAACGCCTCCAAAGCAAGCATGTTTTGACCACCAAGTATCTTAAAGCTTCTCTTATGACATTTACATTGGATGCTGTATCTTTATAATGCATGTAAACCACCTTGATTTCAAAATAACATCAACTTGACTGATTTTTGACGCAATGTTATATGTCAGTTCGATGTCATTTTGACATCAAGCTAGTGAATTTACATAAAATTTATTTGAATTATTAAGATGTTTTGTTTTGATGTACTTTTGACATCAAGGTGCCCACTGGGTTCATAACAGTAAATCAGTACGTACTGTTTTTGAACACCCAAATTGCAGTGTTTTTCCATTAATAGACATCCAGAACTCGAATAATTCATGCTCAAGTCATTCCCAAGCTGACATCTTCATGTCCAAGAGGTACTGTTTTACAGATGCACAATAATATACTGATACAGTTTAATTCTCAGATTTGTCTGACAGCCAGCCTTCTGTGCGCACAATTTGACAACAACGATAAAGACAAATAAATTTGTCTAGCACAGTTTTTAACAACCTTCGCTGATCAAAGTGATTTCCAGCAAGTAAACTAGCAAGGGAACTGATATCAACAAACATGAAACCCTCACTCCTCCTCCTAACAGCAGAATGCCTCTGAGAACAAAAAAGTCTTTAATCTAGACTTAGAAATATTGATGGAATGTGCTTGTCTTATTGATGGTGGTAAGGCGTTCCAAAGCCTGGGGTCGCAATACAGAAAGCACAATCTAACCAACATTTATGTCTCAATTAGGGAAAACCGTGAGTGAAGGGATCTAGTAGGCTTATGCCAGGTTATTTAAACCCATGTGAGGTCAATTATGGTCCATCCCAAACATTGGGTTCAATTTCAAATCAGTAGAGACAAAAAGGAGTCTTAGAGATTAGAGATTTAAAAACAAAACTTAAAATGTTCAAGTCTGCATGAATCGGAAGTTGCTCTGACTTTTATTTCAGTATTTTCATGTACTTCCAAACAGAAGTAAGAGTAGGTAAACATTTAGTAGCGAACGGAGAAGGACCGCCACTCCAAACATAAAAACAAATGATAAGACTTTGAAGATTATCAAAACAAACAAAATCAATCGATTAGCTTGCACTGATTAATCGTTCACCTAGGTCGTTCAAGCATAGGTCTCAAACTGGATTCCTGAAGGAAAGCGCAGCTCTGCATAGTTTTTCTCCAAAGCTAATCAAACACGGCTGATCCAATTAATCAAGATGTTCAAGACTACTAGACTATAGGCAGATGTGAGTTGGAGGTGGATGGAGCTAAACTATGCAGAGTTGCGGCCCTCCGGGAATTGAGTTTGAGACCATTGACCTAAAGAATAACAACAAGTGCTAGCAAAATAAACATTTTACATTTTGAAAAACATAATATGACCCTTTTAATAACTTGGAAATGTGACTGATCTCATCATGTCAACCAGCTATTGGAAAGGGGACAAATAATTTTGAATAGAACCAAACACTTTATTTTTTTTAAGTGGATTTTGCATCTAATTTGGCTTGGCTCTTTAACTATTTAATTAATGTAGCCGATATCAAACTGTTGCTTAATTTGGCAACAATTGAATTGTAAATTAAATTTTAAAACATAAACCTTAAGATGACAATGTGGGGCTGTGAACAAATAAATAAAATATTAGAATTTGGTGGGAAATATGTACAATTATCTAGATGGCAAAATCCATTGTGCACTATTTTGAGACTATGTGAAGCATAAAGGTCCTTTCACATCATTAAAATGATAACTATAATTATAATAATAGCTTAAATCTGATTGGCTGTCAGTGTTTTTATTATTCATCAGCTCTTTCTTTTTGTAATTGTTATAGTTATCGTATTTGATTTGAACAGACCCTTAACAACTACCGAATCAGCACATCTGGACCGAAACTGTGAATTATTTTGGTTACACTGAAATGTTTATTCAAATAAATGTCATGTATTTTCATGTGGTCACGGCACTTTAAAGACACGTGTTTGAAAGCAACAGAAAATAATTCACAACAGCAAAAAAATAAATCCCATTCTCTCCCATACCTCCTATATAAAACAAACGATATATTTACAGTAGTGTGTGTGTGTGAGTGTGTGAGCGTGTGTATACTTCTGTGCTCATGGTGAAGTAGAATGACAAGCACAATGACATGAGCTCAGTACTTGATCCAACATATCTAACCACGTCTTTTCAACTTTAGGGCCAAACTGCATTGAATTTGTCTTAGTCTTGTCAGCTGTATATCTTAAACTGTTCAATTTGAAATGGTAAATAAAGTTTATTTTAAAGATCAGCTTCTGCTTTTGGTCTTTTATCTCTTGGTGTGTGTTTTACCTGATTTTTTCCCGACGTTTAAAGACTGAATTGAGCTGTAACGTCCAGCTAATGGTGTGTTCTCGGTCAATGAGAAGTGAGCAAGCCGTCCGGCTGAGAGAAGTCTATCTGTCGGGGCACTTTGCGCCCTCTGTCGGCTGTTCTCTGCACTGCGGGAGGTGTGGGATGGAGATGTTCTGGTTCGCCGTTTCCTGTCTCTATCTGCTGGAGAAAGTGTTTGACGGAGGCTGCAGGAATAAGTCTGAAGGCTGAAGCTCTCAGCGAATGTCCTCTGTGTTTGTACATGTTGTCTTCATACTCCAGAGCAGACACAGAGACAGTGGAGTCGGCGTCTGAGGAGATCGTTAATGCTCGATTGCTCCTCGTGTGGTTCGTTTCTCTGGGTGGACATGGTTTCAAACAAGAAGGTGCTGAGTTTAATGGATTTGCGGTTTCAGGGTCATCTGTAGAAAGAGCTAGTTCAAGTGCTCCCCTAAAAAAGATATAAAAATAGATTACGTGATACAAACCATTTACACTACTAGCTTAATAAGCTTATTTATAGCTTATTAATAGTTCGGTAGAAGTTGGGTTTAGGTTTTTGGTCGGAATAGGGATCCAGAATAATCATACTTTATATCGTATCTAAGGTAAGTGGTTGCAGACAATTTATTTGGGCTGAATTTAAACAAACAAATTAAGTTGAACATTACTAAATTTCATTTGTTTGTTTATATTCAGACCACATAACCTGATTGCAAGCACTTACCTTAAAAAAAATCAGAATCATTTTTTTCAGTGTACTAATTAACAGTTATCTTGATAATAGGCATGTAATAAGCCAGTAGTTAATAGCATTAATTGTGACAAACTAAAGTGTTACAATACTGATTCATTTATGAATTATTGATATATATGATAATTATTATTTACAGGGTATCCGCAGGGTCTTAAAATGTCTTAAACTTCAAAAACAATTTTAGGCCTTAAAAAAATCTTAAATTCACTGATAAATGGTGTTGTAGGTCTTCTGATTTTAAACAGGTTTTAATGTTAATTTGTCTATGTAAAGCTACTCAATCGGTACAACTAACAATCTGTCTAAAAATAAAACATTTAACAAAAGTAAAATGTATTCACCCTAACAACCAATATGGTTTAATTATCTTCCTTATTTGTTAAAAATCTCCATCTATTTATAAATAGCTGTATGTTGTACATAAATTTACTTTATTATAGTTTTTAAAACTTGTCTTTTTTTAAAGAAAAGTTATGCTGATAAATATATATAACTGTTTGTTTCGACTCAATATTTAAAATATGTGGCTAAGAATTAACAGAATTTCAATTTTAAAGGGCCAAGGGGGAAAAAAACATTGGCCATTACAAAACAAAATAAATAAATCCTTAGCATTTTGCCATGTGGAAGTATAAAAATTTGTTTCATAAGGGTCATAAAAAAGTTTTATAATGACACCTGCAGAAACCCTGATTTAAAATGAGTGACAAAAACCCCAATATTACATGACTGCATTTTAGAAAAGTAAACATTATTTATTTATTTATTTATCAACTACATGTCAGTGCAAAGTTTGTGTAACACCTTAGAATCGTACATAAAAATATATCTTGAAATGTAAATACTTTTGTTATTCCTTAATTTACTAACAATCTGTTCAGTTTGTTTGCATACATTTAAAAATTGAGCTTAAACAATACAGCTTAAAGTGACATTTAAAGGCTTAACTAGGTTAATTAGGTTATCTAGGCAGGTTAGGGTAATTAGGGAAGTAACTGTATAAAGATGGTTTGTTCTGTAGACTATCAAAAAAAAAAGCTTAAAGGAGCTAATAATTTTGACCATAAAATGTTGATTACAGAATCAAAAAACTGCTTTTGTTCTAGCTGAAATAAAACAAATAAGACTTTCTCCAGAAGAAAAAAATATTATCAGACATACTGTGAAAATGTCCTTGCTATGTTAAACATCATTTGGGAAATATATATAAAAAAATAAATAAATCAAAGGGGGGCTAATAATTCTGACTTCAACTGTATAATAAAATTAATGACACAATTATTATTGTTAACATCCAAGTTTCATGTGAATCCCTAAATATTTACATGTATATTTAAAAATAAATTAATACAAATGTGTCTAAAATGCCTTTTTTAAAATAACATGGCGAAACGTTCCTAATATATAATATACATATATATCATTACAAATATTAAACATAGATACAAGCTAACGTACATATTTGTTTTTTAGCAAAAAAAAAAAATATATATATATATATATATATATATATATATATATATATATATATATATTATCCTGGGCCAAATATGTTTAAATATTCATTTTCTGACATTAAGTCAGAAATAAAGTCTTGTTCTAGAAATGTGTACTGACCTTGTGTGTTTTTGTGGGTTTCTGGTACTCCGATTGTTTGATTTGTAGGAGCAGCTCATTGAACCCTGAACATTCAGATCCCTCTGAATTAGTCTCCGTTCTTCTTTGAGCTCTGAAAGACAAGGAATCAATTAAAGGTAGTTTTGCTCCAGGATAAACCTTTTCATAATGACCCTGAAAAAAAATCAAGAAATAAAAGAAATTCTGCTTTATTACTTCAATTGAAAAGTATTCTGCTCTGAAAAGACTGAGGATAGTAACCTTGATCATTCTTTATTGAGCTGTGGAACGGAGTGGATAAGAATTCAGTGGTGAACCACTAGATGGTAGTAATACACAATTCAAAAAAGATCACATTTGGAGAAAAGATTTCAAATAAAATGGGCATTATGATGCAATGTTTATGAAGAAAGATGTAAAGGGCTGCTCCAAAAAACTGCCATGAAACCAATGTCATTTGTCAGGATTAACTCCATGTACCTGCTAATGTGGGTTCAGGGCACACAGGCTCTGTCTGAGTACTGACTCGCTCAGCCTCAAGGTTTTCCTGTGAATGAAACAAAACAAATCAATCCACAGTCGTCAACTTACACCATTAAATATATACAGAATATATACGCTTTTACTATAGGTGATCACAGCTGTGCTGATATACAGCCATATCACACATCTCCACGTCATATTGTGTTTATGAAACAGTTCAACAGCACAAATAAAAGAATGAGCCACAGACCCTTTAAAGCACTTTTGATTGAGAAATGACCTGTATTTAATTATTTTTACAATTTATACCAAAAAAAAAGTTGTTCTTACATGGAATTTTTGCCTTGCTTCTAGTCCAAATATCTACATTTCAAAGTGGAAATTAAGATTATTTACCTTACCCGATTGGCAGATTATTTAGCTTGTTTTAAGAAAAAAAAATCTAAAAAGTTTTTATATTTCTTTTAAATAATTGTAATTGATCAAATAATTTTTAAATAGTTGAACTAGAAATGAGACAAAGCAGATTAAGAGAAGCATTTTTTTTTGCATTGTGAATATTACATTTATGTACTTGAATGCTGTTGGACTCCCAAGAAAACTGTATACATATTGGAATATTTTTGCAGAAAAATAAAATCTCGTAATATCATATTTTTTCAATATCAAGCAGTCTTTTTTGATATCCACTTTAGAACTAGTATTTGAATTTCTTCAGTGCATTAATCAAAGTATATTAATGTCTTGGTGATGACAAAACAGCTCACATATTAATTTATACAGGATATTAATGAGAAATGAATAAGTAAATATACAAACATACACACAAACAAAGTTCTGTCTGTATTTATCATATCACCAACATTAACAACATATATGTCAATGCAAAGCAAACACTATTCACAGACACTATATGGAAATGTTGCCTATTTATTTGCTACGTAACAAATAGATTTTTGACACCAAACATTGCTTTTAGATATACTCAAAACACATTTTATTTCAAATTTAATCACTACAGATATGAATAAAACTGCATCTTCAAATTTGTACTATCCTTATAAAAAGTATAAACCAATTACATGCTTGACTCTTAAAGATACAATATGTCACTTAACAACTGTGGTATTTTCTAAAGTATAGAGTTTAGCCCTGCAATGTAATGTGAGGAGTACATATATCTGTATTGTCTGTTTAAGGTAAAATGTATATGGATCTGTGTTATAATAAGGAAAAGTACAAATGGTGAATTCAGTTTATAATATGTAAAATATGTACTACTACTACTAATAATAATAAATAGTAAAGTAATAGGAAATAAGTAAAATAAGAGATAAGGTGAAGTGATAGATGAATGATGAATTTGTAATTTTAAAGGGCACATATTTTACCCCCTTTTTAAGATTTAGGATCTTTTGTGTCTCCAGAATGTGTCTGTAAAGTTTCAGCTCAAAACACCCATCAGATTATGTCTTACACCTTTCAGAATATTGGATTTTTCTGCTCTAAACACAATGTAGCTGTTTTTGTTGCCTGTGCCTTTAATGCTAGTTCTTATGTAATGCTAGTTCTCCCCGCCCACCGTTCCCACATGCCTGTCAGACTGTGCCTCAATCTCCGCTTAGGCTGCGTCAGATAAACAGACATGACATGAAGGAAGCAGATCTCACATAACGTTTATGAGAAATACTACAGTAAGAACTTTACTAATGATTATTTAATGTATTTGTTGTGGAATTAATTCAAGCTTTTCTGCAACGATAGGTCACACACAATGTCTTTTCAAAGTTGCACACAAACAATGCACACACACACACAACACATTTGATGATGATTGATGATCACAGAGAGCTCAAAAGATCTTTTAATCCAGGTGTTTTGCGCACGTCCTATCTTGTTATGATTATACGCATTACTCTGAGACATGTTAATATGCGGCTGTCAATCAATTTGGTGGATGGGGAAACAGCACTCCTATGTCACGATGTGGTAGGCCTCAAAATGAGAAGGATTTGCATCCTATTTTAATGTTTTTTTTTTTTTTTTTTTTAAAGAGACTTAATGTGTTAATATCACCCCAATATGATTTTGAGTCATATGAGTTTTGTCCAAACAGCTTACAAGACATGATTTTCATCATATGTGCCCTTTAAGACTATATGGATTATTATGATGTAATGATTATGATGTAAATTATTATGATGAAATAGATTTTGTTTGAAGAATTGTTTTAAGTGTATGATATTTTATTTAAACAAAGTCTATTTAAGTTAGTAAATACATTAACTAGCATTAACTGGACTATTATTTTAAAGTTACCCAAGGTATGTGCAATGTATGAAAGCAATCTAATAGTATGGTTTAGTGTTTTTGAAGCAGTGTTTCTGACGCTCGCGCTGACCTAAATGGTTATACAGCACTGCTCCACCGAGACTTCAGCTCATAAAACTGGACTCCAAACCACACGCTTTCACTGCAAATCCATGGATCTCCATTAGTCCACATGTTATATGGCAGCAGAGTGCTATTATTACTGCAATCTGCCTGTGCCTCGGCTTATTTGCTCTGAGTCATTGTTAAATCATGTAGAGTCCCTCTCACTGGCCAGCACATGCATTATACACTCAAATAAAAACAAAGCCAGCGCCCTCACTGCCAGTGTACGGGAGGCTGCGGTCTGTGGGCAGCGGCTGTAATGCCAGAAGACAGCTGGAAAACACATCCCAAAGCCACAGTTATGAGGTCGGTCAGTGAAGTCTAAGAGCAGAGAGAGGCGGGACACCTCTGACACACTCTCTTCACACTCACCAAACTCAAGTCTGCCATCGCAACCTTTCTCATTCATTGTGTAAGACAGTATTCAGAAAATTCCCTCTCTGGGTGAACATATTTGTTTATATGGTACTAATATTGAAAAGATTAAGCTGGTTATTTTTAAACCTTTATATACAGTGCTTAGCATAAATGAGTACACCACATTTTGTAAATGAATATTTGTATCTATTTTTCAGTGAATATTAGAGCTGTGACGGGATCTTGGGCTACGAGATCTTGTGAAACAAAAGACTATAGTCATGAGTTTTGGGTCATGACCAAAAGGACAAGATCTTGTATACAAGCAGCCGAAACGATTTTCCTTCGCAGGATGGCAAAGTGCACCCTTATAGATAGGGTGAGGAGCTCTGTCACCCAGTAGAAGCTTGGAGTAAAGCCGCTGCTCCTCCACATTGTGAGAAATCAGCTGAGGTGGCTCAGGCATCTGTTTTGGATGCCTCTTGGACGCCTACCTAGGGAGGTGTTCTAGGCATGTCCCACCGAGAGGAAGGCTCGGGGAAGACCCAGGACATGCTGGAGGGACTATGTCTCTTGGCTGGCCTGGGAACACCTTGAGATCCCCTCGGAGGAGCTGGTGGAAGTATCTGGGGATAGAGAAGTTTGGGGTTCTGTCATAAGACTGCTGCCTCGATGACCCAGCCCCAGAAAAGTGGATGAAAATGAGATAAGATGAGATGAGTTGTGATGTTATGATGGACCGCGCGGGTGAATTTAGCACTGAAGAGGCAAGATTGGATTTCAACCGAAAATTAAGAGCACACACCTGGCTACCCCGGCTGCCTCAGTGTTCCCAAAGTCTAGAATACACAAGACATGTCACTTGTATAGTTTTGAATGGGGAAAAGTGTAACGAATAAAGCCCCACTTTATCGATCAAAATAAAGCCCTAATCATCAATCGATTTAGACTGATGTTTCTCCAGGGGAAAAGCTCGGGCTAGATGTGTGCTTTTACAACAGTTTGGTGGTCAACAAACACGCTTGAATCTCAGCGAATACTTGCTTCAAAGACATAAAATCCAAATAAAGCTTGAAATCTGTGCTTTTAAATGAACCAGGTGCACTTGAAAACAAAGTTTTTAGTTTTGTAATCTGTATGAAATGAACATGAGGTACAGTCAGTCCTGTCAAACGCACATCACATGACAGCAACTACTCAAAGCCCCACGAACTTGGAAACAAAGAGTCGCTGTCATTTCTGGAAGAGAATCGCCATCAAGACCAAGCTGTGGATTACTTCAGAAGAGCATTATCCAGAGGATAATAATGTGTGGAACGGCCATAAATGAGGTTGGTGTCGTGATCTCTTTATATTCGAGTGCGCATTAGCTTGGGCAACCTGAAAATATGCATATTTTGTTTGATTCAGACATTTAAAAATGAAACTTTTGAGACAGTTGTTGTTTAATTTTTTTGGGGGGTTAAAATATGTCATGTAATTGTAAGCATGGCAAAAGGTTTTGGAAAATTTGATATTTCTTCATTCAAACAGAATGCCCGAGCATACTGCCGGAGTTCAAATGTTGCTCAGAGTTTGTCCAGATAGTAGATATTATAGCGAAATATTTTACAGTGTTTGCTTGTCCTTTATGGCATAATAAATTAAAACAGAAGTAAAATAACATTCATTACAAGATGATACAAAAAGCCTAAATTGTTTTGCTTTTTTAAGTTGAAAAAAAAAAAACTATTTTCCATATATATATAATCATTGAATATATGAATCATTGATATATATAATATCATTGAAGATCCAAATAATTGTATAAAAAGCTTGTCTCGTCTCGTTCTCGTGAAACCAATCTCCTGTCTCATCTCGTCTCATGAAGTAAGCCTCTCATCACACCCTTAGTGAATATAGATAATATATTTTGGTGCATTTGAACACCACACATATTTATTTATTAAACACATATTTATTAAAGTAATATTTTAGTCACCTAAAATCTTTAGAAATGGAAAGATAATGCAATTAAATTCAAGTAATGTAATGCAAAAATAAGTACAAACTACATTTTTACCCTCTTTTTTATTTTATTTATACTGGATTTTTATTATATTTTATTTTGATAATATTTTCCCTAACGTATAAATTTGGACAATTTTTGGACTTTTATAGTAAGCTATTTTGTCAGATTAACTCCAGATTTGGCTTCAGTACTGACATATAATATTGTACAAACATAATATTGTAAAGCATCCTACAGAAAATATTAATTTAAAAGAGAGATTTGTGAAGGGTGTACTCATACACGTTGAGCACTGTATAATATATATTTGTATGAAAGTGCAAAAACGTAATTCAGCGTTTAGCATGTTGGAAAACATATGATTTAGGGCTGGGCGGTTAATTGTAAAGTAATCAAAATCGACATTCAGAACTTATAATCGATCATATTTTTCTAGGTCAATTTTTTTATTACTTTACTCTACCGAGTCACGTGTCACGTGACCCCCCCTGAACTGAAAAATGTTCAGCACTTTGCAGCCAGATCTGATCTCTATGGCTTTATTTCATGACCGCAGTATTACAAGTTGAGAGCACATTCGTGTAATGCCAGTGTGTGAATCTTTTTGCTCGCGTGCTGATTTCCTCTCTTCATGCACAAAACTTATTGCACACTATCAAACATACGGCCCTGATTTATTTTTTTTTTATAAGAAAAAAGTGACTTAGTTTTAGGCAATGTGTGTTTTAATTTCAGTTGTTCATGTTGATGTCAGCGCAGTAAATAATTATAGATAGTAGATAGTGTGTTTCCTTAAATTTTTTATTCAAAAAACTCTGACTTGTAATGTGTGAGCGTATTTACTGTACAAAACTTGTCTGTGAGGGAAAAAGTAAATAAATAAATAAATAAAACAGTTGTATCATTAATTGAGTTAAAAAATTAAGTTAAAATGTACAATTAATTGAGATTTTGAGGACAAATCGCAGAGCCCTAATATGATTAATAGCATATGATTATATTTATTTTAATGTTGCTTCTTAGTTTACATTATTGAAATCAGAAAAATAATGTCAGTTTTCATGTTTCAGATTTTGTTTGACTGTTTTAGATTATTTTACATTATTTAAAATTATTTTAATCCATCATGTGGCCTTTGTTGTGAGAATCTAATGGATATCAGCCCCACTAATCTAAATCAAATGTGTTTATATTAAACACTAAAATCCTGATTAACACTGCACAGATTAAACTGACTTCTCTCAATAGTCCAATAATCTAATAAGAATACACAACCTATGCCAGAGGACCTGTTTAATTACTTTACCATCAGATGTAATGCTACATGACAGCACACATACAGGTCTACAAGAACATTATGCCCTGCTTTGGCACTGCCAATAATGTGCCTGCGATTTAAGCAGCCCAGTTCCATGTGACAAGCTTCCAGTGACTTCCAGGTAATTTGTCTGATGTAATTACACTGACATAATCACATCCAGTCAGAACATACTGTACAAGATGCTCAACATATGTACACTATTACATTTAGCACAAGGAGATCGCACAGTAGGACTAGACCTGTGAAGAATGTCATCTATATGTATCTATCTAGACAGTGTACTTTAGAAAGTGTGTTAAATTTGTGTTTTTGTTATTTTTGTTTGTTTGCTTGGAATATACAGTAAATGTCTGAGAAGATCAGTCTGACACTGTGTTTGGCTGCAGAGGTGGAAAACATTTTGCACCAATCATCTCTAGAGCTCACAGAACGAGTTCAGCATGATTTTACGCATATACTGTACAGTGTAAAAATGCTCTGTGATCCATTATAAAAATATATGCTCATATGATGGTTGTTTATGCATGAGTATACATTTCCCAGCAGCACATTTTACACCACACTACTGTTCATGTTGATGTGCAGTTATATAAGCAAGCAGAGTAAATTTTATGAAATTGTGGTGCTGTTTACAATTAAATATTGTTATTAAACCATACTTGTTATTTTTTTCTGTACTTAGGCTGAGGGAACTAAATTAACATGTTAATATTAAAATCTTAAGGTAAATGACTGATACCTCAAAAAAAAAAAAAAAAAAAAAGCTGAGAAATTATGAGACTTTTTGACCTGGATATGATGAAAGGAGAGAGAACAAAACACTGAATGACAGATATCAGTCAAATCTAGAGGCCAGTCACTTTACCAACCACATAAAAAACACCCTAAGCATTATATTAGAAGCATCTTAGTTTTGCTATTTTTACCTACAATTTAAACTACTATTAACTATTAAACATTAGTGAAAATGAGTTGAAATATAACAAAATAAAGAAATTTGTCCTTTCCTAGATGGGTGGCACGTCGGCCCGGTGGTTAGCAGTTGCTTTACACCAAGACCGTCTCTGGTTCTAGTCCTTACCAAGCCGGTTGACATTCCTGTGTGGAGTTTACACATTCTCCCCGTGCGCAAGTGGGTTTCCCCCAGGTTCCCCAGTTTCGTCTCAACGTTCAAATTCATGCAACTTAAGTTAATTGACTAATCCAAATTGGCACCATAGACATGCACCTAGTAAGTTGTTATCTCTTAAGAGCAATCACTCAATGATTAGCAACTACAGCAGGGAAGTTCTCGACTGTTCTCGAAATTCTACCTGAGCTCAGGGCTCTCTCCCAGTACAGCATGCCAAACAAGCTTTATAATTAATCATCAGCTTAATTCACAGCAAGTGTGAACTCTTGAAATATTATAAAAGCGTAGCAATCTCATTCACAAAAGTAGAAACCATTCTAGATTTATTTACTGTATAGATTTGCTCTAGTTTTTTAGTGCAACAAAAAGAGAATTGAAAAGCAGCACCAAGGTTAAAACACTAATGGCTCGTTTTCACTGAGTGGTACGGTATGGTACGCTTTTATGGCTGTTTCCATTGTCAAAAGGTCCGTAAAGGTGAACCGTACAGTACCATTCTTTTGGTACCCTTTGCAAAGGGTACCTAGAATATCAAAAGTGTACCAAAAGGCAGAGTTAGATTTGCAGCTGAATGCTATTGGTTTAAAGAGATACGTAACTCGCTCCAGCAACAAGCCAGCAGAATGAAAACGAAGAAACCGGCATTTTTAAAAACACAGCCGAGACATCACACCGTAATAATATATACATATAATATCAAGCCATGGTTGACCTGAGCTCAAACAAACCTTGCTGTCCTCTTGATGAACAGCCACAAAGCCAAGTAGAACAAAATCTGCCATGTCCTGTTTTTGTTTTACGAGGCCTTCTAAAAGTGCAAGCGGTTTCACTTTCTCCAGATAGCTTGTGATCTCGCATCTATATTTGAAATATTGAACTTCTTGAGCTGATGATAATAACGTGCGTGTGATTATTAAAGTGCTTCTGACATCCAATCCTTTCAGAAATGAATAAACGTTAGAGTGAATCATGAAAACGACTAAATGTACAGTATGCTGTGTGTAGTTTTTCTGTAATTGGTAACATATCGGAGACTGTAAGGGTTTGTACAGTATGTGTTCATATATGTTGAATTTATAACGGTAATTGTAATTTATAAATGCAGACGTTACAGTAGGCTATTTTAATTATTGATCTGGCGTTATAATCAAATCATGTTCATGGAAGGGTTAGTCATGAACATTTATACACAAGTATTTTTGTGTATAAAGCCTCTGTTTGGTGAGAAGTGCTTCTCATATGATATATGAACATTCAGCTTTGACATTTTCTCAAGTGAGAATAACGTTGACTGAAACTTTCTGTCATACGCCATGTCCACCATTGGTACCTTTTTGGCAGTGGAAACACAAGCCTCATAAAGGTGACCCATACCAGCCCATACTGTACCACTCAGTGGAAACAGGCCATAATATACTGCACCATAACAATGGACTAACTTGCATTATGAAAACACAACGTGGTTTTTTTTTTATTTTGCGATGCTTATTTACCCATATAAAAAGGAATTTAAAACCTGATCTGACTTAAAACACTGTAGAAACCACAAAAGAAAAGTGCTTCACATATGAAAAACAAGCGCTCAGAGGCATTGTTTTGTACATTCCTCCTCTCTTCAGATCCAGAATCATAGCATGTTATTAAAGTAATCCTGAAATCGATGTTGCAATCAAAACCAGTAATTAACGTCAAAATAAGCCCTTACCTGCAAGGCCTGCACATCTTTTCTCAAAGCTTCAGATTCTTCAGTCAGGACTGACCTGTCAGGCAAACAAAGCCCTCTTTTAGAAAGCCAGCATATGCATAAGTTTGAATCAACAGTCACAAAGTGTAAGTCTCTCAGAAAATATTTTAAAAAGGGGCCAGGTGGAAGTAAAATGGTGTTTTCTCGAAACTCTCTTATGGGAAATTGTAACTTTTTGATTTAGTGGCTAATTCATATGAAAATTACATATTCATTAGCAGATTTTTGCAAGATTTGCTCATTCTTTTTTAGTTTTTTTTTTTTTTTTGTAGGAACGAAATCATATGAGTTTATACAAATTAGCCACTTTTCCACCAATACTGTAGGTAAAACACTTTTAAAAAATACTTTTTCTAGCAAGATCAGGTTGGTATTGACAGGGATGTCATAAAACAACCTTTTTTAGAGAAAATTTCTTTAAAGAATCTTTTTTTTAAAATCTATTTTTTAAATGAAAACTTTTTTAAAACTAAATTAAACTATTTTTCAAAAAAATAATAATAAAAAAGAATAATAAACTAAACAAAAAGTACATTTACATGGACACCAATAATCCTATTTTAGTACTATTAAGACAATACTTTTCGCTGCATTTTGTAACAGGATAGTCTGTAATAGTAGACCTGCCTTATGAAATACTGAGATTTTTTTTCTCCACACGGTGTGCGGTATCAAATTCCATTAAAACAACACTCTTCCAGCAGTTCATACTCACACCCAATACCTCAGTTTGTCATTAGGGCATGCAAGGAATGTTCCTAAATGAAAGTGAAAGTGCCAAACAGCTAAAGTCGACAAATTAAAAAAGAAACATCCGAAATTTCATGGAACTCCAGAGAAAATGTGGATAGCGTAGTGACGCAATGACGTTAATTTAATCATGTGATATAACATGTAAACCGGGATCATGAAAAAAAAAAAAAAAAAAAAAAAAAAAGCAACTCATGTAAACTCCTTAATCATATTATTGTCTTATTCAGATTAAGACAAATCATTTCATTACTGATGTCCATGTAAATGTGGTCAATGTAGGCCAGGGGTCACTAACCCTTAGCTACCTTCCTGCAGATTTAGGTTGCAACCCTAACCAAACACACCTGTCTGTAATTATCAAGTGCTGCTTCAGGTGTGTTTGATCAGGGTTGGAGCTGAATTCTGCAGAAACAGGGTTGGTGACCCCTGATATAGACCAACATAGGACCTCTATTTTTAAGAGAGTGATCAAACTAACAAAAAAGCATACAGTATAACAGCCCACTTTCAAAGTTGTTTTCCAATTTCCGAGAAACAAGAGTCTTATTGACGTACTTCATACAAACGTTTTTAAACATGTATCTAGTATAGTAGTATACAAGTATACAAGATAAAAAAAAAAAAAAAACTTAAACTAGACTCTGCCTGCACCATGAACTCTTTGTCAGATCAGTGGAGAAGTAAAACTGACCTACTTCTCCTCGGTTACATAACTACTGTAGTCACTTAAAAACTCTGCTTTTCTTTTAAGGCAGAGGAATCTTACATATGTCTGTGTCTGGGATTCATTTGCTCACAATGAGCTCTTTTGTTCTGACGGTGCAATAGATCGAGCTGCAATCTGTCCCGCTGAGCACGAGTCTGACTGTTTGCATTCCTCTTGCTGGCGGAGAATACAGAGGAGGAGAGGTGGAAAGCGTGTGTGCATGTGTGTGAGAGAGAGGTAAAGGGGCCCAGCCAGGGGGACGAAAGATTGAAGACAAGAGTTCTGGACGGCTAGACTAAAAGAGAAGGGCTAAAAGAGAGAGAAGGAGAGGAAATCCCTTACTATGGTGCACTTGAAAAAGAAAAAAAAGTCAACTGAAAACAGAATTTCCATGCATTAGGATTGGAAGGAACATACTGTAGGTGTAACATAGACTAATAAACCTAAAGTGATGTATATTGGCCAGTCGCATGTAAATAAAACTGCTCAGTTTTTTGTAATAATCAGACAATGATTTAAATAACTAATTATCAAATGTTTAAATCTCATCATTTATAACTCATTGACTTCCACCAGTTCCACAATTTGCCATATTCTGTGCATACTTGAAACATAAAATATGGCAAAATGTGGAACTAGCGGAAGTATATATATTCAAATATTCTCACCGGCCACTTTATTAGGTACACCTAACTAGTACCGGGTTGGACCCCCTTTTGCCTTCAGAACTGCCTTAATCCTTTGTGACATCGATTCAACAAGTTACTAGAAATATTCCTCAGAGATTCTGAGCCATATTGACATATTGCTATATTGATAGCATCTTGCAGTTAATGCAGATTTGTTGGCTGCACATCCATGACACGAATCTTTCACCACATCCCTTCTAAGGCTATTTGATGAAATGATTTGGGCTTCATGACATGGCACATTGCTGGAAGTAGCCATCAGATGATGGGTACACTGTGGTCATAAAGGGATGGATACTGGTACTAATGGGCCCAAAGTGTGGCAAGAAAATGTCTCCCACACTATTACGTCACCACCAGCAGCTTGAACATTGAACCATTGATACAAGGCAGAATGGATCCATGTTTTCAGTGTTGATACCAAATTCTGACTCTACCATCCGAATGTCACAGCAGAAATTAAGACTCATCAGACAAGGCACCGTTTTTCCAATCATCTATTGTCAAATTTTGGTGAGCCTGAGCGAATTGTAGCCTCAGTTTCCTGTTCTTAGCTGACAGGAGTGGCACCCGGTGTGGTCATCTGCTGCTGTAGCCCAACCACCTCAAGGTTGGACGTGTTGTACATTCAGAGATGCTCTTCTGCATACCAGTCTGACCATTCTCCTCTGACCTCTGGCATCAACAAAGCATTTGCGCACACAGAACTGCCGCTCACTGGATATTTTCTGTTTTTAGGACCATTCTCTGTAAACCCTAGATATGGTTGTACGTGAAAATCCCAGTAGATCAGCAATTTCTGAAATACTCAGACCAGGCTGTCTGGCACCAACAACCATGTCATGTTCAAAGTCACCTAAATCACCTTTCTTCTTCATTCTGATATTTGGTTTGAACTGCAGCTGATCGTCTTGGCCATGTCTACATGCCTAAATGCATTGAGTTGCTGCCATGTGATTGGCTGATTAGAATTTTGCATTAATGAGCAGTTGGACAGGTGTACTTCATAAAGTGGCCAGTGAGTGTATAAAAGATTAATAAATTAAATGAAAAAAATATAAAATGATAAAATGATAAAATTAATAGATAACATTTCATAATGATCTGATTTATGCAGATCTTTAGCAAATAATAAAAAAGAAGAAAATAGACACACATCCAATCACATTTTTTACGTAAATATTAAATTATGCCATTTTTGAGTGCATTTGTGAAAGACTGGCAAATATGCCAATAAAATGATTTATTTTTATTAAAACTATAGGATAGCTAAAACATTCAAATGTTTTTAAGCATTTTAGTACCAACTAAGCAAGAAAAAGGCAGCAAGGAGTCACAATTTGGTGATAAAAATACGTCCTTAAAACCCTTACAAGAAACCAGGCTTAGTCTGGGAACCAGTTCTCCTCAGTCCTTAATAAAGGATCACAGTATGATATTGATCGCCATTCAGGTAAAAGCTCTTTAAATACAGAGAAACCAGTTCAGTTCAAGTGTTTAAACATCTGACTGTTAAAAAACTCCCTAAAAATCTTAAAGTAAGTATAATCCTAGATGAAAGCAGTTGTGGAAAGAGAAGAAAGTGATTCAGTTCAACACTGTTCTTAAAACCTGGAGTAAAAATACTTGAGTAATTCTGTGGGAATTTGTATTCAGAGACAATTAAAATGTAATACTTATACATTTTGAGCACATTTCTGAAGCAGAAACTACACTTTTTATAAACAATAACAATTTTTATAAACAATAGCAATTGTTTATTGCTTACAATTTTATAAAAAGTGCGATTATATGTTCTTCGATCTAATGCACATTAAATATGGAAAGAGTGTCACACTTGCATTGTCAATGGTTACTGTATGCACTTGAAAGATGGTTTTGACCTTTTCCATTGTATTTCTTTTGTTTTCTCCCTTTAAACGAACCTTTGTGTGTCCATCTGAAAAATTACTTTATTATATTTACATTACTTTGCATTACACAATAATTAAATATGTTAATATTAAAAAAATCTAATGTCTTGTTTTAGTTTTGCTATACTTTTATCTTTTATGCCTAATTACATTTCTACTTTTACCCAAGTATATTTTTATTCATGTGAACTTTTAATTGAGTTTAATTAAGTTCCCCCAGTGTCTGTACTTTTACTTTTCACACCCCTGCTCATAAACACCACATCTTCACAAGCGTGCGCATATGTGGTCTGCATCTACATGTGGAGCAATGAGAGGAGATTTGTACCCTAAGGAGATTGTTTTCTACGATATTAACTTCCCTGCGCAACAGGATCTGCAAATGGACAGTCTCGCTGGCTAAAAAGTCATTACTCTATGTACATTGCCTCAGGTGTAAACAAATGATTCCAATATTATCTGCATGATAAAAAAGTAATTGCGTTCGCTATATGCACAGAATTAGATCTGACATTTCACTGTGCTGTTCCTATTTTCACAATATGCTTAAAGCAATACTCGGTTATAATAACTTTTATGTGTACTTTGGATAACTTCTATTTGGAAGTGAGCACTTGAAATGAGCACTACGAAGGGTACAGTGAATATACTAATTGTAAAAGGTAAAGGCTGAAAATTGAGTGTTGGTATTTTAGTTGACGATGTTTATGGTTAAAGCACCACCCAGTGGCCAAAATCTGTAGGCACATTCACTCCCGCTGTGGTGGTGGCGAGCATGGTGGCAGAGGGAACATATTGAAGTGTTAACATCTGTAGCTGTTCAGACTGGTTGATACGTGTCAAATATACACAGCTGATTAATGTTTTACAATTTAAGCTACATTTTATATATGAATATATTATATAAAATATAAAATATTATAAATACAAAATATTTATACTTCAAATAAACATTATATAAACTTTTAATCATATGATTTATGAAGATTGGAATAAAGACTCCTAAAAAATCTGTAAATTGCAAAACATTTGCATGAAATATTCACATCGATAAGGGTTAATTTAAACTATAATATTATTTTACAATATTACCGTTTATAATTCATTTTTAATCACATACAGTTGAAGTCAGAATTATTAGCCCTCCTTTTTATTTATTTTTATTTATTTTTTATTATTTCCCAAATGATGTTTAACAGAGCAAGGAAGTTTTAACAGTATGTCTGATAATATTATTTATTCTGGGGAAAGTCTTATTTGATTTATTTCAGCTAGAATAAAAGCAGTTTTTAATTTTTTAAAAGCCATTTTAAGGACAACATTATTAGCCCCTTTAAGCTATATTTTGTTACGATAGTCTACAGAACAAACCATCGTTATACAATAACTTGCCTAATTACCCTAACCTAGTTAACCTTATTAACCTAGTTAAGCCTTTAAATGTCCCTTTAAGCTGTATAGAAGTGTCTTGAAAAATATATAATAAAATAATATTTACTGTCATCATGACAAAGATAAAATAAATCAGTTATTAGAGATAAGTTATTAAAACTATCATGTTCAGAAATCTGTTGAAAAAAAATCTTCTCGCCGTTTAACAGATATTAGGGAAAATATTCAACAGGGTGGCTAATAATTCAAGGAGGCTAATAATTCTGACTTCAACTGTAAGTGCAGCCTTGGTAAGCATAAAGATTTCTTTCAAAAATATTTCGCTGACCCCAATTTTTTGAATGATAGCCTTTAAAATTTCTTTTATAAAAATTATTTTTTCAATTATTGTTTGTTTTTCAGGATATCATTCAGCAAAAAATTGTGATGTGAAAATATAAGCATGTACAATATTATTCATACTTAATTAATGCTAGTAAATAAATGACCTAACATGAACTAATGGACTTTTATTCAATAGTGCTACCAAAGAGAGCTTTGTCAAATGATTTGTGTGTTCACTTTTCACTTTCCCCAAATTTCTCTTCAAGTGTGCAATAATTACTGACTAATAAAAAAGAGCTTACCTGAGATGGGCCACTACCTCATCGATATGGGTGATGTTCAACTTGTGTCTTAAGGCCTTGATTTCCTCCTCACAGCTGGAGTGAGATGAGAAGCTGGAGACTGACCTGAGACAGGAGCATTATTCAGCACTTATTAACCCAATCAATATGACCAGCTTACTTCATGTGGACATACAGTCACATAATAAAACTTTCCACAACATTTACCTGCTTCCAGTCTCGCTCAAGCTTGATGGGGGTCTGGAAGGTGATTTCCTTTCACGCCAGGTGCCTGGACTTCTCTGTCTTTTTGTGTTGCCCAGTGCATAACTTACCACACTGGGACTGTATTGGGAAATGACCTCCTCTTCATCTCTGAAACACACATGGGGACTGATGACGCCCTGAGAATAACATAAGCTTCACGTGTAAAAGAAAGGCATGTGAAATACACCAGAGACACACAAGGAACACACTTGGAACACATGGAGAACAAATTGAAAGTGCAACCCAGATGAAACAAATGCAGAATACAGAAAGTGCATGGAAATGTATGGAACATGAAATGTGTGATATGGAACATTTCATGTTTTACATGTAAAACATGGAACGTGAAATGTAAAAATGTAAAATGTAACAAATTACATATTTATTACACATAAAAATGTTCTAAACCCTTACGAAGTGAAGTATTTTTATAAACTAATTTTAAGAGGATCACATGCTTATGATTGACCAGTGCTGGTCCCGCATTGGCTAACGCATGATTCACCAATTGGATGATTCCTAACTCATTATAAATAACCAGAGTTCCTTAACTCAGTCATCTTCAGCTTGAAGAATCCCCCCTTCCACCCCTACTCCTCCTTTCTTTTCATTGACAGGGCAGCACGGCGGCCCAGTGGTTAGCACTGTTGCCTCACAGCAAGAACATCACTGGACCAAGTCTCTAACAGGCCAGTTGACGTTTCTGTGCGCAACTTCCCCTGGGTTCTCTGGTTGCATTCCACAGTCCAAAAACTTGCAACATAGGTCACTTGACCAATCCAAATTAGCACCATAGAGAGCTCTTAATCAGTGATATTTCTCTGTAGCAATCCCTAATTTGTCATTAGCCATAGCATGAGAGTTAGCAAGGCAGTTCCTGAGACCTACCTAAGCTCAAACTCCCCTCTCTCCCTGCAAAGGGGAGGGAACCCTGGGCTCGAGGATCTTAGTCCCAAGAGGTATTCAAGTAGTATACTTACAAGGATACTACTAACACATAGCTGTTAATATGTGAAGCATACTTTATTAAAATACTTTATTACTTATATATACTTAAATGAACTTGAAGCAAACTTCTTTTTCATAAGGGAAACTACATTGTGGTGTGTTCACATGAGTTTCATGTGCATTTAAAAAGTGATTTTAATATGTGAAGCTCATGTGGATGTTCTGTAAGGGTGAGAATGAGAGAAAGGTGAAAGTGGTTTCACTGATTTTCAAGTAGGGCTACCTGGAAACATGTTTGCTTGTGCCTTGTTCAGCTTAATTAAGAAAAAGTGTTGCTTTTTTCTTTTAAGATTTCTTTCTCAAGAAACATGTGAAAGACAAATTAGGCCAGGTGTCTCATAAAAAAAAGCTATTTGTAGAATCCATTTCCCTTTACTTTTTTCTTATTTAAAGTTGCAGTTCATAAGCTGCAGTACATTATTTACTTTTATTTGGTGAAAAATTATCCAAAATCAATTTCTGAACAAGTATATAACCCATGCTTTTTACCTTAATCAAATTTAGACTATAACAATGTTTTAATTTCAATCGTACTAGTAGGTTTTCACAGAAAATACAAACTTGCAGCCATTAGTCTTCACAAACATTATGTCATAAATAAATTAAAATAAAGTTCAAAATATTAATTTGCATAATTTAATAAACATGCTCTGATTTCCCACACAGTCCACAGACATGCGCTAAGTGAATTAAATAAACTAAACTGGCCATAGTGTGTACGTAAACAAGTGTGTATGGGTGTTTCCCAGTACCGGGTTGCGGCTGGAAAACTGTGTAAAACATGTGTTGAAATAGTTGGAGTTTCATTCCGCTGTCGAGACCTCTGAAATAGAGACTAGTCCTAAGGAAAATGAATGAATGAATGAATGAATGAATGAATGTGCAATACGATCTCACCTCACTCATCTCACATGTCTTTTATTTGTTCAGACGACAATACTTCTAAGTTGTAAAATCTGTCATTGTGAAGTACAGCATCCACCACATTGTATTGATTGACAGCTACTCATACTTTTTAAAATTTTAAATTAGAGGACCCAAATGTGATGCACAACCTACATAAAGATGACCAGATTCCGAGCAGAAATGGTGACAAAAATGCAAAACCTATGGACAGCAACTTTATTGAATATTCTGAGTTATTTTTAATAATACAAGAGTAACTTTTTTTGCAATGGTGTTAGCGATGGAGTACTTGAGCTTTACCGATGGAGCTATCGAGATGCCTTAGGCAAATAAAGTTGGCAAACACTGATCCCTCTAGCTTCACTTATCTAAAAGAGCTCTGAGTTTTCTTGGAAGCATCAAGCATTATTTATTCAAGACCCCACAGTTCCAGCACCAAACTAATAATATAGCAAACTTTTTTGGAGAAAGTCAGGCAAATCAATCATACACATATAAAATAAACCTTGGCGTCTAGCCCTTAAAAAACAAGACAGTAAACAGTAAACAGAACTACTGAATGCATTGTATTATAAGAAAAGAGTTGTGTGTAAAATGCCCTGAGGAAAAAAAAAAATATGTACAGCACTATTTACAAGTTTGGAGTTACTTATGCTCACCAAGGCTACATAAACTTAGCAAAAATGCAGTGAATAACCAGCAATATTGTGAAAAACGCATTACTAATTTAAATAACGCTTTTATGTTTTGTTATATTTTTCATTCAAAAGCTACATTTTCACTAAACATCATTCAAAGTGTAATATATAGGTACTTAAAATAACACCTTATATCATAACTGCCAACATTTGTCTCTGAAAATGCGGAAGATCCCATTCGAGGGTGAGGTGTCTGTATAACACTGTTGAGAACCGGGTTAGTAACTGTACTGTGGTTTCACTAACTGTACTATAGAGCGGGTTTCAGGGGATTGGATATTTTACAAAACTTGGTGACCCGAGGGTGTTACAGGCTGTACCAAAAAGCAGAGGACTGTAAAAAAGCTGTGAAATTACGAGAGATTTCTGGAAGAAATAACAAAACGGGAGGGCAGCGGGAAATGGGGCTGGAATATGGGAGTCTCCTGCAAAACAAGAATGTTGGCAGGTATGCCTTATACAGTATATGTTAACCATTCGTATAACTATTGACCAACCATTTACGTTACTAAAAGCAATATTGCAATGAATAAGTAAATATTTGCTAGATCTTTTTTTAATAACAAAATAACCACACAAGAAAAAAGACAGCCTTTAGAAACCAGCAGTAAAGAAAGCATCTGATCATGGTAATATAGATATGTTGGCCCAAGCTGTGCAATTCACTGACATTTTGAAATATAAGATAATTAATAGGACGTAATAATATCAATAAGTTCATAAGAGTTTAAGATTTAAAAAGTATATTCGAGACTATAGACTGTAGATCAGAATATGTACAGTATGAGTAAGAATTTTTTATTTATTTATTTTTTGTAGTTGGGTAGAATTGTATCTTAGATTTGTCCTAACTTTTATAGCAGCAACCATGTTGTAGCCATTTGTTAAAATGTTTTTTTTTTCTCATTAATTTACACACAACATCCCATTTTGACAAAAAAATGTATTGTTGACATTTTTGCAGATTTATAAAAAGAAAAAAAAACTGAAATATCACATAGTCCTAAGTATTCAGACCCATTGCTGTTACACCCATATATTTAACTCATCTGCTGTCCATCCTTGAAATGGTTCTACACCCTCATTTGAGTCTAGCTGTGTTTGATTATACTGATTAGGAAAGCCACACACCTGTATATATACTGTAAGACCTAACAGCTCACAATGCAGCTCTTTGTAACTTACAATGTAATACTTATACTGTAGCTCTTTCTGCATTCTCATGAATTGTATAAGCATTTGTTTCATAGAAAGAGTGAGGGATGAAGGCTCTCAGGAGTGCACATAAACACCATATCTTTTTTATTTTCCATTAATTTTTTTTTCCAGTGCCCTTCACATAAAAGTCGGTCTGGAGGCTTTCATAACCTAATAAGTCATTGAAAGTCGTGTTTTTTATTGTTATTAATTCCTTAAAACAATGTAAATAAATTTTCATTTATCTTCTTTTTGGCTTAGCCCCTTAATTATTCGGGGGTACAAGGTTATAATAGTTCCCCTCCAGTCATCATCGCTGTTGCTCCGTGACAAAAACAATGGCTGGACATGACACCAGCACAGTGACAACATTAAATACGACCCGAGCAGACACTTACAAGTATTAATTAGACACATTTGTACCCAACAATGGTTTTTATTTCTGTATTAGTGATCCTGATCACGAATGAATCCTTCCTTTTAACCAGATCTTTAAAGTGAACCAGTTGAACTATTTCACCTAATCGAACTGAATCATTTGAAATTATTCGCGTCTCCAGTAATTGCTTATTCACAAGCTACTTACTTTTAAACATGCCTGATAACCGCCTCTTACTCGAAACAAACCAATAATTACTAAGTTATTCAGTTATTAGAACAGTACACAGAAATCAGATTTGAGAAGCCATGAACGGCTTAACCGTAATACTGCGCAAGCCTGCTGTGACTGAACTAAACTTGAACAACTGCGGGTAAACTAAGGTTATAAATGAGAGGGTCTGGCGAAATGAAGTATATTTCATTACAGAAATTCGTCATGGAATTTTAATGAGTGAATCATGCTTCAGTTGTGTTGCAAAACGTAATTGTAAGAAACTTTTCAGAAAATTGTGATTTTTAACTGACTGAAATTATGGTTGCTGACTACATAATTTTTAATCCAAACTTGGGAAGATCTGGTTTGCGTTGAAAATCTGAACTTCCCGTTACTACTGCATATCTAACCTCAAACGCAAATGAAACTCTGAAATGAAACTAATACTGAAACAAAAAATAAATAAATAAAAAATAGAAACTAATAAAAAATAATAATAATAATAATAATAATAGAAACTAATAAAAACACCCAAAACAAGAATTACAGACTCTGACGTGCTGTATGGTCAAACATCTGCAGCGCAAAGTAAACAGATTTACTTCAAAAAGTCATACAGTACGCTAATGAAATAAATAATTTTACAAAGATGAAAACTAAGGGTGTTTTAGCAAAATTTTAGTTAGTTTCAGTTAGTTTTGTAT